TGGGCCGGCATCCTCTGCATCCATAAGTTTTGCAAAAAATCATCATTAAGTTGATTTCCAGAGAGCTCTTTCATCTTGCGGAGAAGATGGCTGGGGCGTTCATCACCGAGTTGTAACTCGGTCAAAAGTTTTTTAATTTTGAGTTGCTCAGAATCCTCAAACTCACTAACGAGTCTGGCGCACAGCTTCTTATATTTGTCCGAGTCCGGAGGATTGAGAACAATATCAGAGACATGGGCAAGCGTCTCACCATCGATGTTAGCGATGAGGGCAGAAAACTTTGTTTGATCGCTGGAAATGCCACTGTATGTAAAAGCATTGTCACATTGTGCTATCCACAATCGCACGTTCGCTTTCCAGAAAGGAGGAATACGCAGAGCAACTTTAGCAACTTGAGTCTGTTGCTCATCAATAGGCATCTTGTAGGATAGTTAAAAGCAGTTGAAAGAGATCTGGAACAGCAGTGGGCTTAAAAAAACGTGGTCAAAAAATCAGCTCATTCTTAGTCCATGGGTCACCACTGAGGAATAGGTTGCATTGAGAAAAGAATGAGAGATTATATGGACAATCACATTTTATTAAATCACATTTAAAAGAGTAATTAAATGAAAAACAAGGAGTTAACATTTGGATGAGAAGCTACAACAAACATACACGCTTAATCAATCGATCAACTGCTCTCTTCACTTCAGTTCAGCATTGCTGTGGAATGCAGATGCATCACGCACTTAAGTGCAGTTCTGACTGGAACAGCACTCGCCACAAACAATCAAATATTGATTGGATTTGTCTATTTTGAAAACAATATAAATTGGACGAAAATGTTTAAGTGAAAATGTAACGAATACAAATGTTGTGCTGTGAGTATCCACGACGAAGTATTCCAATTAAGGAACATGATAACTCAAAATATATATTTAATAAACCAATAGAGAAAAATAACATGCTAGCAACAAGTAACAAAGATTAGCGATGGACATCTATTAGTAACGTGTTTATATACTCTCTGGAAAGGTAAGGCAGCGCCGCTGTACAGCTACAACAGGCTGTCGTCATTGATTCTTAGTAATGACGGAAAGTGACGTCAGCTGTCATCACAACAACAAAAATATATTAACATGATCTTTTCCATATGAAACAATAAATCTTTAACTGATGCTAAAATTCTATCATGAATACAGAAAACTCTATTATAAATTTGACAATAATGCTTTGGATAATTGTTTGATTTATCAAAATTTTACCGTAACAAAACGATATGTTTATTAAACTAAATCGCAAGCCTAAATTCCTTCGACGTGAATCTATCAAGTAAAACTAATTACCACTCGAATCTAAATTTGAATGAAACAAACACAATTTTAACAAACATCTAAATTTGAACTAAAACAAACACAAACTAATCTCAGAAATAAAACATTAATATTTATAAACAATATCTATTGCAATAAATAGCGTCAAGATGAAAGCACATTCATCTACACAATACATTTCCAATAATAATAATAATTATTATAGTTAAATTTAATAGAAGAAAACTTATTTTCAATGCTAAAAAAAGTTTTAATTACAAATTCATAATAAGATCCGTTCAAAAATAGGCGATCGCTACTCTTGAATACGCCATTAGAGGAGAAGACCGGTTCTATGCCTTTGGCCCTTCTCTATCCTCTTCTTTTCAGTTGTTTAGTATTGTACTACGATATATTTTCCTTTTCTTAATATTTTTCAATTTTAATTAATAAAAGCATTTTGTTTAATGTAGTTTTCAGTTCCATGTAGCTTCTCAAAAGATTTTATTCTATATGAAAATCAAAACAGAAACTAGCGTACTTTCCTCTATGACCCTCCACACGCTAATGGTGAAAGCATGTAAAGTTTTGCCGTTGGTAGAGAACTCTACTGTACTCCACCAGTAGCCAATTTCGATTGCCAATACAATAGAATAATGACGGTCTCAACAGCAGTAAAATGAAATTTGTAAGCAAATAAGGGTAATGAAATCACGTGAACTGACCAAACCGACTAGAAACCTGATGCACTTCGAGCATAACTGGTGACACGAGTTTGAATGGATGGTGTTATCAGTAGAAATGTAAACAATAACAATCTCGAGCTGTATGCCTGCTCTAGTTCCGGTTAGAAAGTTTGCAGCTGCTTACTACATGTTATTCTTCGAGGCGATATTTTCAAACGGATACTTTTGCTTTCAATAAAATAAATAAATTAAATAATTTCTGAGCTCAAATATGCCGTATTTCATAAGATATTAATGTTATTATGTAATTCTGGTTAGTTTTAACTGAAAATTATTTTTAGTTATTTAGAGATATATAGTTAGAAAAGGTGACATGGTTGCTAGATTTTGAATAACTCGCTTTTTTGGCATTCTTGATTTGGCCTCTTTCCATTTGTTTATTACTGTTTGTTCGTGTTGCAAGCTGTGCACTATCTTATGTTAGGGTTATCATATTGTTCGAGGAGCAAGATTAATTTATACATTATAATTCAGGTGTAAATTTGAAAGATGGCATATATTATTGACACGTTGTGAGTCAAATGGCTTTGAAATACACCGGGAACAGTAACCCGGAGGTATAAGCGGTATACAGCTTTTAGCGCCGTAGAAAACACCATCCATAAAGTAACGACCGGTGCGGTGAACTAATGTAACCAGTTTTAGTATTGGAACGGTCGGTGCGGCAAACCAATGTCACCAGTGCAAATGTTGGAGTCCCGCAGTAGACTGATCGTTAAGACACGGTTCCCAGCAGATTACTAAAGTCAAGCATCACTGGCTGCGATCAGTGTAAGGGTGGGTGACCATTTGGATCAGTCTGCGTCGGTACCGAGGGTGTGCGGTACGGGTCCTCGTTAAACTGTTCTACCGTAAAGTGCTCGACTTCACGCGCAGGTCACTGGGCTATCGAAGAGGGGTGCCATCTCCTCTGCAGAGGATCAAAATTGTGATGGCATGTCTTCGGATCATCCTCAGGGATGCTTCCCAGACCATCGCCAATAGCCCATTCTGCAGCTCTAGTGCGAAGCAAATGAACTACAACATCAACCGCGAATGGATGGTGTTTTCAGTAGAAATGTAAACAATAACAATCTCGAGCTATATACCTCCTCTAGTTCCGGTTAGAAAGTTTGCAGTTGCTTACTACATGTTATTCTGCGAGGCGATATTTTCGAACGGATAATTTTGTTTTCAATAAAAGAAACAAATTAGATAATTTCTGAGCTCAAATCTGCCATATTTCATAAGATATTAATGTTATTATGTAATTCTGGTGAGTTTAAAGTGAAAATTTGTTTTAGTTATTTAGAGATATATTGTTAAAAAAGGTGACATGTTTGCTAGATTTTGAATAACTCGCTTTTTTGGCAGTCTTGATATGGCCTCTTTCCATAAGTTTATTACTGTTTGTTCTTGTTGCAAGCTGTGCACCATCTTACGTTAGTGTTAACAGTTTTATCATTGTAAACACAAGTAATAAGTAATCACATACATTGTTTGTAAGAATCTCAAAACACAATTGGCGATCGAAATGGGCTGCAGGTGGCGTAGAGCAGAACTCTTTTCCTATGGCAACACTTCACATGCTTTCCCCATTAGCTTGTGGAAAGTCATAGAGGAAGGAAGTACGCTAGTTTCTCTCTTGATTTTCATATAGATTGAAATCTTTTAATTTGAAAAACTATATGGAACTGAAAACTACATTAAACATAGTTCTAAGGAAAAGTATTATGGAAATTTAAAAAAATATTCTTATTAAATGAAAAGGAAAAATATTAAGAAAAGGGAAAATATCGTAGTACATTCCTATACAACTGAAAAGAGGAGGAGAGGGAAGGGAGAAGGGCTAAAGGCATGAAACTGGTCTCTCTCCAGATGGCGTATTCGAGTGTTGCGATCGCGAATGATTTATTTTTATTTGGAACATTTATTTGGATCAATAGAGCTTCAAGCAAACTTCTTTACGAATAGCTTGTCGCACATATTCTAGTCTTCTGATAAGCGACTAGATCAAGTGCATCAAGTGGTACACCTGACACGCCCATTACGACGTTTCATTGACATCATCAAAAATTAGTGTAGTGCTGTCATCTTCAGGAGTTAGATTATACTAAATATATTTTGATAACAATATTATACTAAAAAAACATATGTAATTTTTTTTTACTCTGGAATTCAACCATGTTTGGTGCGATTTTAAAATTTATTTACAGTTAAAATGAAACCTTTTTTTTTGTAGATTTTCTTTTTTTAAATATAGAGAAATGTTCTTAGTTTTACATAGTGAATATTTTATGATATTAAAAAAATTTAAAATTTTTCTTCTTTATTTTAGTCTAGCCTACTACTTTTATTAGGGACAGATTGTTTTCCTTCAACTTTTGAATTTTCATAAAAAAATATCAATCTTTTTTATTCTAAGAATATTTAAATAAGAAATTTCATTAAATATGTACATACTTTAATAATTTTCTAGTGGTAAGTTGTTAGAATTAACTAATATAATTGTAAAATATTTTATTCTGAATAATTTAAAAGTATGTTATTTTTTTTAGTTTAGTTTCAACATTATTAAAGAAACGTTTTGTTTAGATTCTTATTAAACAAACTTTCCAACATACCTTACATCAAGAAATAAATAATTCCTTTCTTTCCTTTTTTCTTTCCTGTTTCTATAATTATAAGAATATTTCAGCTAGAAATATTCCTTAAATATCTGTCTCCTTGAACTTATTAAAAAAAGTCAACATTTTAAGTGCATGTTTAGACAGTTATCTACACTAAAATACATAACTGTATGTGTTCAGCTTTGTGCTGAAATTATAATAAGCCTTACATTTTTTTATCTTATGTAAAGAAAAGAAACAATTTAAAAATTTGAATTAGTGAAAAGTGGTTTAGTTCTGAAAATAACTGTTTTTTCTTTTTAAAAAGGAAATAAACTAAATAGCGAAAAAAAAGAGTTTTAAACAGAACAAAAAGAAAGTTATGGCTAGTTATGATTTTAAAATTAAAAGAAATTAATAGTCATTAGGAAATCGATCTAAAGATGGCAGCACTACACTAATTCTAGATGACGTTACGGAAACGTAATAGTAGGCGTGTCAGGAGCACTGCTTGATCTAGTCGCTCATATTCTTCCGAGATTTCGTTTTCAGATCTGTTTACATTTGAAAAAGTTTTTTGTTCGCTATAAGTTTAAGGTCCAATTTTTGTTAAGTTTTTGCCATTGAAGATTCTTGTGCTTTTTTTGATTGATGTAAGTAGAAATTAGAATTTACCTGAAAAATATTTTGTATAGTCTTGTTACGAAAGCAAAAATAAGGCCGATTATTTTAGAAATCCATGAAAATTATTGCCAAATGTTATTTTGTGTGAGCAGTTTTTTAAATAAAGTGACTTAGTTTATAATAAATTTCTAGCATTAGCCATTTTTGTCCTAACTCTTTTGATGTTCCTCTTTTCAAAAATCTTTTTTCATTAGTTTTATTAGGTTATAAATTTTTTTTTCAACTTCAAAACACAGCTGATTGGGTGTGTAATAAATATTATTTTGTGTAAAATTTCTTATTATGTTTCTTTCCCAGCATCATGAGTATAATTTTTAAATTATATCCTAGAATAGTTTTTGAAAAGTCACTAACAATTTTAGAAGAGCTATTTTTGGCAAGCCATCAATAATAATCTAAATATATAATCAGATTAAATAGATACAGTCAAACCCTGCTCTACTGAACCTCCCAATACCCGCTGTAAACAATAGTACACTGTATTCAAATTCTTTGAAAAATATATTTTTTGGCTTATGACAGTTTTATGAACAGAGGAAAAAACTGTAAATAATTGCTGAAAATGAGCAGAAAACAATCTACCATTACTATTGAATTGTTGCAAATTAAATGCCTAAAAAAAAAAAATTCTTAAGTTGTAATCAAGTTCGAAACTCATGTCACATAATAGGGGTGCACAACCTTTTTCAGTGAAGGGCCACATGCACAGCAGATTGACCAATGAAGGGCCGCATGCCAAAGTGTTTAGACCGACATATTGAAAGCAATTGTTGGTGGTGATTGTTATATAAACATCATTGTTTATATAACACTAAATTCTTTTTGTCGGTTAACCTTGTAATCTCTTTGCAGGAAATACAATACTTTAAAACGTTTAAAATTAGAAAATGCAAAACTGATTACTTAAGAAGGAAAACAGAGTTCGAAAATCAGAATCAATTTATCAGAAAAAATTTAGATAAATTGAAATAATTAGAAAACTATGAAAAAATTGAAATTTTTTTTATCACATTACAAAATACAAAAGTCCGTTTAAACATAAATTTTAACGTTAATTTTTTTTTCTCCATAGAATTAAATTTCAAATAAATAAATATTCTAGTTATTAATATAAATTCAAGTTAAATACTTTGATTTAAAGAAAGTTTATAGGGTTAAAAATGATTAAAGCAAAAAGTGGAAAATAAGATTTAGCATTTATTAGGGAATGTACTTTAACTTTCAGACATTTTTATTTTAAATTAATAATAAGAGGCTGAGAGAGGAGAAAAAGAAAGAAAGAAAACACATTAAATTTTAAGGAACTATATTCCTTAATAATAAAAAACTATTAAGATACTTGTTTACAACTTTTTATGACGAATATATTTTTAACATGACACTTACTATTTACAATTAATACACAATCAATTAACAATCAATAAAATTTACATTACTTTACGAAACTTATCTTGATTAAATTTTTTATACAGTTAAAATTTAATGATATACAAATCATTTCCCAGCATATAATCATAAATGATATAAAATGCTCCAAGAAGGTAGAAAATGGTTTAAAAAATTTCTTAATGGTTATACTGTAATTTGCAAAATTTTTGAATATTGTGATAATTTTATCTACTTGATCATGTGATATTTTTTGAGCCATTAAATGAAAATGTAATGATTGTATTTAAAGACTACTCTGTAATTTTGAACAGGCCAAATTCATTCTGGAAAACAGTCTTTCGACAGAAGCTGTTGTTGTGGGTAGTATTAAACTTAGAGCAAATAACATAATCAGTTTTGGAATTTGTCCTAGATGGTGTTCTTCCTTTCTGGGTTTTTAAATCGCGGAAATACAAATAGCGATGTGTTATTTTTTAATTGCTTGAATACGAATTGCTATGTGTTATTTTTTAATTGCTTGAATACGAATTGCCATGTGTGATTTTTAAATTGCGTAAATAATAAACTCGATGCTTGTTTTTCAAATCGCGTGAATACGAATCGTGTGGCTTTTAAATTGCGAAAGGACTACTCACAACACTTGATTTTTAAAATGCATGAATATGAATCGCGATATATGGTTTTTAAAACGCGTGCGAGAAAAGTAGCAACGGATGATATTTTAAACGCCAGAACACGAATCGCGATATGTGATTTTAAATCCCGTAAATACGAAACGCGATGGATTATTTTTAAATCTCGTTAATGTTAATACGAAATGCGATGCGCAATTTTCAGATAGCGTAAATACAAATTACGATGTATGACTTTTAAATTACATGTGACAACAAAAAGAATAGGTTCGATGTGTGTTGTTAAACTTGCACGTGTTCATGGGACTAAAGAATTATGCCGTTTTTTGAATTATTTATTTTTTTATTTTTGTGCAAAACGGACCGCGTTTAAACACATCTCGGTTTTTTTTCCTGGGAAGGTGTTGATTTGGCTAAGATACGTAATTACTTTTTAAGTTACGAAAAAAAATTAAAGCTGAATCGAATTTCACGAGTTGTAATATTGTGTGAAAATATCAGGTATATTCTAAATCACAAATAAAAATGCAGCAATAACGGGAAAGAAGAAAAAACACTTTCGAAAAACCTCTTAAAAAATTCGTGTTAAAATCGGTACAACGCAAATGATAAAATCGGCACAAACAGAGCACGTAAAAAATAATTATTTTAATGCGCAATTCAAAACTCGCTTGCTGTCAAAGTATTAAAAATATCATAATCTTTTTAAATCACGGGGAAAACGTAATAACTACTAAAACAATAACCAAAATACTTTAATATTTTAGATGAAATTGGAGTAAATAAAGTCCATCAAAATTTTATGTAATTTAAATGCGAGATTTGAAATTAAAATGTCGCAATAGCGTATAAAAAATATCGGTACTTTCAAAACCTTGTAGAAATGTGTAGCAATAATTTCTAAAATAACGATTGAAAAATAATTTGATTTGCGATAAAATCGTTACAAATAAGCCATGTCAAAAAATGGTTATCTAAATGAGCGATTCTTTACTCGCGATTCGTAATAATATCGTGCTAAAATATCGAAGTTTTAAAAACCGGGCGGAAATGTGCAGCAATAACTGTTGAAGAAAGGATCTAAAGTCATTTAGATTTTCCATGAAGTTTGCACAAATAAAGCGTTTCATAACTTTCAAAAATCGCTATTTCAGAAACTACTTGAAAATGGGTAGCAATAACTACCGAAAAGTCATTGGAATCGGCACATACGAAAAGCGTCAAAAGTGGTAATTAAAATTCGTAAATCGTAATAATGATGTATTAAAAATATTGAGATTTTTAAAACTATGCTGAAATCCGTAGCGTTAACCATCGAAAAACTACATTGATTGAGATTGGGTGCGTCAAAAACTTAAAAGTGTAAATTTAAATTACCGAATTTTTTTTATTATTTTTCAAAAACAAATATTTAATTTTTTTTTCATTTTGTTCAGATTGCGGCCGCGGGCCACACATCGAGGGTTGGCGGGCCGCAGGTTGAGCACCCCTATCATATAAACACCATTCCTTTTCATCGTATTAAAATATATAATAAAATAGAAATGGCAAAAAAGTGACTTAATTTTGGGGGATTTTATGGAAATAGATTATTTTTCTTGTATATATATATATATATATATGTACATTGAGGTGCCTAATCTAGGTCAAAGTACTCGCAGACAAAATTTTTCTTTCCATAAGTTTAAACAGAATGGTGTTTCGCAAGCTTCACCTAGAATAAACCCTTTATTACACAATGTAAAGGATGCAGATTTTGTCAGGGGTGATAATATTCTGGATGTACCCTGGAATTATGGGTTTTTTGTATAATCCTTTTAGGTCTAAAAACTGAAAGCAGAGCATGGGATTTTTCCACAAATTTTGTGTATTTTAAAGCCATTGATTCAATTAAGTTTCACAATCTAAAATTTAAAATTCGAAACTTTCGTTAAATCGTGCCTAAGAGACTTATTAATAATATTATTCTCCCGCCAATTTGTTTATTGTTTATTAGGATTGTTGGATTTTTGACTTTTTTAATATTTGAAGCTACACCGAAATCCGCTAATATCGTGATACATATTCACGTGATTTTAATATCAAACATTGATATTCAAATTAATTTGATTTAAAAGTTATGCACTTTGAATCATATTCACGCTATTTAAGAATTGTATGTGGCGATTCGTACTTAAGTGATTTCAAAATCCAATTTCGTGATTTTTATTTACATTTGTTTTTAAAATCAATATTGCAATTAGTATTTATGCATGTTTAAAATCAAATGTCGCTATTCATGTTCAAAACATCGATTTAAACACGTCAAGCCAATAGTATATCAAAACACTTAATTTAAAAGTTACACATTGAAATTTATATTCACATAATCTAAAAATCATGCATCATGATTTTGTAATCCACTAACTCAATTCTTATATGAACTAAGTTTTTCTTTAATTAATTACTGTAAAGGTGTGATACTTTTTATTGGTAAGTAATTTAATTATAAATCTTTGTAATGTAATTAATAATAATAATTTAATCATAAAATAATTTAATTATAATAAACATGTATAGTAGGTATCCTGATATCTAGTTTTGCACCGATATATGTTTTACTTCATATAATATTGTATAACAAGTTACAAAGCTAAATTTATAAAACTATAAGTTGCTAATTTCAAAGAAAAATTTAATTTGATAAATTGAAAGATAATTAATTATTAATAATAAAAGTAACAAAAAAACCCAATTGGTGGGTATAAAGATGGGGTTTTTCATGTGGGCTCATGCGAAAAATTCAATAGTTTTTTTTTTCTTCTTTTCTTTTTGGATTGGGCTTAATGTGGCAAATACTGATTTAATAGTTAAAATATTATTTTTTGGAAGTATTTGATAGTAATTTTTATAATACAATGTATAATTTATAAAATATTTCAATTCCATTTCCTTATTTAATTCTTAGCTTTTTGTATATTTTAGTGCAAATTATCATGGGTAAAAAGCCAAAAGGAGGACGGAAGCAAATTCTTCAACTAGAAGAAAAGAAAAAAGTTAAAAGTAAGTTACATAAATTTTATTTTTACCATTTTATACTCACCTATTTTATAAAAATTTGGAGTAGTTTTTATTAACATTGCAATTTTTCATTGATCTCTTTGCTTTTTTGTTGAATCCTGAAATATAAGATGAATTTTTTTTAAAAACTAAATGGAAAACTGTTAACGCCTCTTCACCCCCAAGGATTTAACCGTAAATCACTTTCTAGGATTTTGTTCTGTTTAAAAACAGGGTAAAATAAGACATTCATGTAATAAACTAATGACTTTTGCTAGCTTTGAGAATCGAAGTTATTACTCTAACACTTAAACATCTCAAAGTTTTCAGTTATTAAATTTTATCTACATTTTTTAAAAAAAATGCATGTCCCTTAAGCTGCACTAATTGGTTTAGTAAAAATAAAAGATACATAAAAGTAAAAGTTTTTTTAATTCATTGTTTCTGAGTCATAAAGTAACACTGATTTATTGATATCTAACAAACAAGATTTATTATTGATATCTTGATCAAGACTGATTTATTGATATCTGTTAAGCAAGTTTAAATTGAAGCTAATTCCTCAGGTTTTCGTAAATTAATGTCATCACTATTTTGAAGTCTTGTAGATATTGATTTTTTCATGAAAAAGACAAAAATATAAATTACTGCATGTAATATTATGTAATCTTTTGACAGATGTACTTTACAAATTAAAGGAACAAATATTTTTGATTTATACGAATTTTCAAGTGGTAAAAACAAAAATACCAGGTAAAGCAGCAACAGGAAAAAGGGTATTTTCATTTTATTTTTATATCCTAAAGTTGATTTATAATTTATTAATAAATCAATATTATCAATAAATAAGAAGTTTAGACTTTTGAAAATCTACTGATGTTAATATTTTACAATAAATAATGCTACTATTGCTTAAATTTATGAAAGAACTGTATAACCTGGTGAACAAGTCGACCCTCCATCTTTGATTACGAGATAGCAAATTTTTGGCATGTCAGGTGTATAAATCAACTGCTTAAAAAAAAATAAATATGAAAATTTTTAAAATATTAACAAAAATGTATTTAGACTATGAAATTTTCTTGTGTTAAAAATATTTCATATTATTCTTTCTGGATATCAAATTTTTGCCCTAAAATAATGATGTATCTCTTCAAATAAAGATGCTTTAATAAGTGCTGAGAGGCATGTGATGACACTGCTAACATCATTGAATCCAACATAGATGATGTTCCCTAATCTTTAAAATTGTAGATTTATGGTATGTTTTAAAAGTTTTCTCAGTGTTTGTTCCTAACTACAAGCGCTGTTCTAGTAGTGCCCTCATGTAGCAAGTATGGTATGTGGTCATTGTGTAATGATGAAACTGACCCTGACTAGTAGTTGGATTGTGAGAATGTAGCAATGTTTCCGAGAGCATAGGATATTCAGTTACTAATATTAAAAGCAACAATAAAATGAGCCAAAGTCCATTACTGTTGATTTAAGTGAGCATTCATTATTTATTATGTGAGAACAGTGTTATATTTTTTTAATAAATTATCTTCACTTTTCTTATCTTGAATAAATTATCGTCACTTTTCTTATTTTGTAATTGAATATAATAATTTGAATCTAATTTACATCTAATTTTTCACAATCAACCATTGTCAAACTTTATTACCATTGTCAGCCTCCTTATTTTCCTGAAATTTCGGGAGTTTGAAAAGTCAACTTATACAACAGAATATGCAGTATATATCTATACATCGTTTAGTTTCTCTTTTGTGAGATGTTGGTTTATATGTTTCAGAATTGACCTTAATCATGAACACTTTACGATTCCTGAAACCCTTGGACTTCTTTCCTCTCCCATTGGAATAGTTCAAATGTTAAAGTTTGAAAAGTCAACTTATGCAACAGAATATACTGTATATATCTATACATCATTTAGTTTCTCTTTTATGAGATGTTGGTTTATATGTTTCAGAATTGATCTTAATCATAAACATTTTACGATTCCTGAAACCCTTAGACTTCTTTCCTCTCCCATTGGAAAAGTTCAAATGTTGTTCATTTAAATATCATGAAGTTTATATTGAAATGATTATGTATTTTGGAAAAAGAATCACCATTCCTTTTTTATAAGTTCCTTTGTAATAATCTTAGCAGAGCACCGTGAAAGATTTCAAATTTAAGCCATGCTTAAATATTCTGCACTAGCATTCAATATAGCAAATTTTCAGTACTGTCTCCTTCATTTCTCTCTAAACTTAAAGCTGTTTTAAAGTTTCTACTGAGATGCTAATATAAAGCAGCTACAATTATCTGCTACTTTAAGTATCAGATACTATCAGATTTACACTTAATTAAGATCCTAAATAAATTAGACGGTGAACAAATATTAAGTAAAATTTCTATTGAAGCAAAAAATCTGCATTTAATTTCCTTATCTTTAATTTTAGTTTGCTTAATTTGCAGACTTAAAAATTTTTTGGATGTAGAATAACATGAAAGTTGATTTAAATCGAATATAAAATTACAAATATTTTATTTAAGAATAAACATGTTTAACAGGTATTCATTATTGTTACTTTCGATGAAGTTGTAAAAATATAATAAATCCACAGATATAATAACCACAATTTATATACTAATAATAACAAAAATAAACTAATTGTATATTACTAAACAAAGATTTTAGATTTATTTATTTCCTGATAATTCAATCAGCTGAAATTCCTTCAACTTACGCGAAAACATCTTGCAAATCAAAATGAAGTTAATTACTTCTACAAATTTCATATGAAAATCATTGTTAACACATGAATCATAGCGGAAGTAGTGAAAAAAAACAGATATGGTAGACAAAAGAGAAATCATTGTAAAAACAAACATTTAAAAATAATTATAATAATTAGCTCTGTAATAAATATTTAATTAAGTTCTTTTTTAATTTTGTAAGTTTAAAGAAAATTAAAATATTGTAGAATTAATTTAATATTGCATGAAAATATAATCATTTTGTAAATCTGTGATGAATTAAATTTTGTAACGAATTAAAAATATTAATTTCCTTGTATCAAGCTCAAAATAACAAATCCGTAGCTACTGAATGTACCCAGGTCCAGAGAGTATTCATTTTGCCAAAGTAATAAAATGATGCAAGTAGGTAGATACAAACTTATCCAAGTTGATGCATGATTCAAGTAGATACAAAATTATATGAGTCCATTCATGGTTCACGTAGGTACTTGCTCGTTGTTGATATTGATATTTATAGTTTGTCTTAAATGATATGATTTTACAATGAATAAAGGATTTTTACACGGTGCTGCCATCTAATAACTTATATAAGATTCAAAAGTAATTTTTAAGGAGTTATATTTTATTTAACTTTATATTTTAAAAATGAATTGATACAAAATGTACTTGTTATTTTCATGATGTCTTCATTTAAAGCACTAGGTACTTAAGAGCATTTAGTACGAAATATCAGATTCATTGATACAACCCCATCTTTAGTGCATAAACCATTAAAGATCTTACTTTTGATATTCTTTACATTCGATAAAAAAAAAAAAATCAGCTGGTGATCATAAAATTTAACTCTGCTTTAAATTAATTTATAATTAGACAAATGCAGTATTTAAACATTAATTCTATTAATTCAGTAGTATTTCAATTTAATTTAATATTAAAGTATTTCTATGTATATTTGTCATATTTATATTTCGTATGTCAAGTATGTATATTTGTCAATGTTGATTACTTTAAATAATTTGTATTTGTTTTTTTTTTTAATTATCAGGTTATCTCATTAAAATTTATTTTTAGGTACCACTTCACGGGTGAAGAATTTAATTCATAGTGACAGTGATGATGATTCAAAAAAATCTAGTAAGCTTTTTCTAAGGCTTATACACTAAGGATTAAATAAGATTTCTATTATTTTAAGGAGAAGTGTATACCTTAGGATTTTTTTCTTCTTTAAATTAATGAACTCAAAAGGACATTTTTATGCATAAAAATGTATTTTAAAAACATGTTTTACTGATATAATTTTCTGATCTCAACTTAAATGTTCCGTAAGATGTGAAACTTGTGGTGTATTGACAATGGATGAACATGTCATTTATGTAACAATAACTCTACATAGTTTCTTACAAATATTGACTAGCAATTTGAATCGAATAAACCCCATCCACCTCCCAAATCCAGTGTTTGATAACATAGACATACACCTTGTGCGTATTCTTACTACAGAACTTCTTAAATTTTGTGGATACTTTTTTAAAATTAAATCCACGCGATTTAAAAAAAAAATCATTCCTGTTTTGATTCCTGTGATTCAAAAATTTCACATCACGATTCATATGCGAGGGAATCAAAAATTAAATGTTGTGATTCGTATTCTCCCAGTTACATAATCACATATCGCTATTCGTATGAATACGATTTCAGAATCGTATTTCAGGATTTGTATTGAAGTGTTTTTAAAATCCAGTATCGTGATTCATATTCACACAATTTTAATATCCATTTAAGTGTATTAAAGTTAATCATTGCGTTTCCTATTCACAAGATTCAAAAATGATATTTCCAGTTTAAAAATCAAAAGGCGGGATTTGTGTTTATGCTTCTTTAAAGTTTAATATCACAATTCATATTCATGCCTCTTTAAAATTCAATATCGTGATTCATGATTACAGGATTTTAAAATCAAGCATTGCATTTCATATTCAGGATTTTAAAATGAAACACCGCTATTCATATACATGAAATTTTGAAATCGAACTTTACACAGGGTTTGTAGTTGGCCTAATATTCCTGGTTTTCATGATAAAAAAATTTTCTGTCTTTATATGTCCTGATTTTTAGTGTTTTGTCCTGATATTCCTGATTTTTTTTGTTTGTTCATTCAGAACATACCATTTTGTTAAACATATGATTTTAAAATAATCCTTTGGATTTTTTGGTCAATTTATTTTGGTCATTCTTATTTTTTTATTAGAAATCGTTTCGTTTTAAAATTGTTATTTTTTGAAAAAATGTGGAAAATTAAATAAATATACTGCATAAAACAAAATTTTTATAGCAGTGCATTATACTATGTTTTTTGCTCTTTATTTCCCCTTCATAAAAATAGTCTAGTTTATAGGGGAGAGTGGTGTAAGACCAGATACTTTGTTTGTGTGGAAATTAGTTCTGTTTTCTAGACGACAAATTCAGACTTACACTTTACTACTCAAGAAGAAAGACCTACTATTTTGGTGTGTTGTTGTTGATTAATTTACGGCCTCTGTAGATAAGTTTGTTTTGTTATGTCAACTCTCTAATGTTCTCTTGTTTTCAAGCAATCCTTATTTATTGGGGATTAGAGTTATAAGAATTATTTTTAGTTCAGCTTAGTTTACTAATGATTCATACCTTAACAAACAATAAGGATTTCGTCCAATAGTAGCACTGTTTTGTTTTGATAACCTTTGCGCTTGGGGTGAGACGTACGACCAAGGCTTCCTTGATGTGTGCCTATGCTGGGCCCTCGAAAGCTGCGGAGCAGCAAAGTAAGAAGACAACTATATCCAAGGCTAAACAGAGATTTTACTGGCCCCGGGACAAAATTTATTTCAAACTTTTTCTTCTAAACACAAAAAGTCCTATTTTCATAATTTGTAGAATATATAGATATAAAAAGGTTCGCTGCAATTTTCAAGAAAAAAAAATTCCTAATTTATTAGGACAATATTTTTTGTAAGGAGTTTTGGTCAGGCCGTCAGCAGTCCGGGCTCTTGGACAATTGCGCCCCCATCCTAGAGTATGGCCTTGGCTACATCACATGTTAATTACATGTATAATTTTCTTAAATTGCATTGTGCAGCTCTAGTGCGACGTAAGTTAACAACAACAACAACACAACAAATTGCCATATAAAATTGAAATGTCTGCTACTTTTTCACTGCAATTCCAGTTTTTCTAAATTTATCATAGAGTTAACATGTTACCCATTAGTGGGGTAAAACCAGGTGTTTTGACTTTTTTTTAGAAAGAAAAAAATCATTTATTAAAAAATTGGAAAATTAATGACTTTTTAAGAATGATATATTATACACAATTAAACAATAAACATCTTGATTAAATCTAGTCGTTTCTAGGTTAAACACCCACTTACCCTTATTTATTTCAACAAAAATGTCTTGAATTTTTGTATGAAATACTGCCCTGATTTTTATTTTAACAACTACGAAATATGCATTAAGATTTGTATTCACGCAATGTTAAAATCAAGCATCACTATTTGTTTTTATGCCATTTAAAAAACAAACATCGTAATTTCTTTTCACACGATTTAAAATCAAACATCGTATTCACGCGATTTCAAATGCATCATTTGAAGGCTTTTTCAGGTCCGATTAGAAATGGTTGTAAATAAATATATTTAAATTAAATCTTTCATTCTTTGTGTTTATTCTTTATGAACAAAGTTTTACTTTTTCGCTTTTGCTGATACTTTGATGCTAATTGCTTTTGATGATGCAATCGTAATAATTTGAAAAAGAAGAGTAAAGGTGAAAGGTAAGTAATTTAAAATACAATGTACTTATTTTAATTACAGTGAAACCTCCGTTAAGCGGACATTCATGGGACCAAAAAATTTGTCCGTTTATGAGAGTTGTCCGTTTACGGGAAGGGTACCCTAATAACGAAATTTAACACCGTAAATTGTTTTTAGAATATTCTCAAAAATGTAGAAACAATTAAATAATATCTACAAGGATACTGTAAATATCTACAAGAATATTTATTTAAACAATAAGAAAGATAAAAAAGAATATATAAAGAAGTTTTGTATAAATACATAATTCTGGATGTAGCTACAGATAAATAAATATAATTTTCCTATTAGCATAGATACTCAAGTTAGACATATGATACCAAATAGGAGCGTACTGTCCTCAGTCCGTTTCAATTATTAGGTTCACATCCCCTTACACCTACTTATCATTTGATAGGGAACATGGTTAATACCTTCTTGGAAAATAAACCTCCCATGATTCACAGAAAAAAAAGTAATGCATACCTGTAAGTCATGAGGACCTATGGAGATGATTATTCACAATTGATCAATCAAGTGTATGAATAAATGTTTCATTTATATAAACTCCTCAAAGATTATACTTCTGTTCTCTTTTTTTTTACCCCAGTTGTGTTAAATACAGTCTTCAAATTGATAAGAAAATTAAAGAAATTTTCAATGGGGAAGAAGCATTGAGAAAAGTCATTTCAACTTGAGGGGTCTCATAACCTGTGTGGTCCAGATGAAAAGATCAAAAGATGCCGATGTCAGAATTATTTCAGGAGTGCAGTACCATTTTCTCTTCTCCTTTCTTTACAAAGATAAGGCAAGGTGACAGGAGAAAGATTGATTTTTCGGTGGTGAAATAGCTTAACAATATTTTTAGTTATGGATAAGGCATAAAGTTTTATTTACATGCTTTAAAAATGGTGAAAAATTTGAATTTTTTTAGCTTGCAATTTATTTAGAAAAAGTAGTGTCCGGTTTGTAGAGATTAAAAACAACGTTTCAGGACCAAAATGACTGTCCGCGTCCGGTTACGGGAGTGTCCGCTTTGCGGAGAATGTATGTAATGGTTTATTCATAGAAGATTCCCGGGGAATTAAAAATATGTCCGTATTTAGAGGCGTCCGTTTTGCAGGAGTGTCCATAACAGGAGGTTTCACTGTATTTAATTTTAGTTTCATGCTTAAGTTCAGTTTTATACTTAATTAAATGCAGTAACATTTGCGCTTCATTGAAATGTTAGATTTTTTAAAAAAAATTGAATTTTTTCTTCCAATTATTTGTTCTCTACCTCCCACTTAGCAGTGATTTCATCAAAATATGAGTGGGGGCTTAATCAGTATTTTGTGGTACATGAATTAGTACTTGGCATAACTTACTTCAAATTACCATGAATGTTTTTTTTTTTTTTTTTTTTTTTTTTTTTTTTTAAATTTTCATGCATTTTCAAGGAAAAAATTTTTTAAAAAAGTTTTTTTTGGCAATTTTTATATATTATTCACTTTAATTATTATAACAAATGCTAAATGTTTTATTAAAAGTAAAGTTGCATTTGAAGATATTAACTTGTCTATAGTTTTTAATTTGTTATTAAACATTTGACACTATTTTTTTTTTCCATTTTTTCCCCAAACATTTTAAGCTTTTAAGAAATGCTTACATTTCATTAAAAACTATAGACAGTAAAAAATTCAACTTTCTGAAAGGCTTAAAATCCAGAATAATCATAAAATTACTTAAATTTTTTTTAGTTTTTGTAATTATTTTTCTTCTTCCTTTATGAAGTCAAAATATGGCACCACATGATTTCTTTTTCCTTCTTTCAAATATGTTAATAACTTTAAAGTGCCGATATTTATAAATAAACAAGCACAACTCAAACCTCATTACAGATGAGTTTTCCAATTTACTTACCTATCCGTAATGCCTTTCTGCAAAACTCTGCAATCTACCCTCCCCCATTTCCCTCGTCTTTCAGCTAACCTTCACATGTTAAGAGAGCAGAAGTGTGTAAACATTTGTTTCAGAATGAACATTAGTAGCAAAGATTCTTGTAAAATGATTTAAAGGAGTTGTCTCACAAGCCTGGCAGCTAGATTTGGAGCATTCCTTTTCTGTTTTCATAGCAGCAAAGAGAAAAACAATTACTGGCTACTGAACCAATCATGTGGCAAGTGGAAAAATAACTATCTTGAAATTTCATTAAATTTGCTTTGTTCACTTTGTTATTGAGCTTTACTTGAATGGTTTCATTATAATTTTGTCAGATTTTCTTTTTCGTTGATAGAATTATGTCAAAACCAATTAAAATGTAAACATTCTCGCCTCACAATTAGCGATAAAGTTAAATTACTTAAAAAATTATTCTGCTACGTCTGTTAAAAACATTTGCTCTGAGTTCAATATTGATACTTTAACAGTTTACAATATTTGGAAGCAGCAAGGGAAGATCTTTAAAGTATTTGGAAGCCGCAAGAGGAGATCCTTAAAGTATTTCAAAGCAGCAACAGAAGATTTTAAAAGCTTTTTGAAGCTGGGATATAAGATTTTATAAGTTTATTGAGGCAGCCATTCTTACAAATTGATGGCAAAGCCAAAGACCCCTCAAAATGCATTTATATTGATAAAGCAATGATTAAATGGATTCATCAATGATGATCAGAACCTTTCACCTTAGATCAAAAATTATTGCAGCCCAAGCTAATATGTACCACAAACAATTAAATGCTGAGCATGCTTAGATTACAATTGTTAAAATATAATGCTGGAAAATCTTTGCCTTTCGTAAAGTTGCTGAAGTTTTTAGTGAGGAAGTCAGTTTCAAAAAAGAATTTGAAACCAGAACAAACATAATGCTGGCATCATTTTACGCATACATTCCTAAAAATTGTGTCACTCTCAAGCAGAAGATGGTTTATCCTTAATAATGATCCTAAGACAATACTAGTGCATGCTCACAATTTGGATCATAGATCGCTGAAATGGTGGCTGTTTTCGCCCAGCCTCTATACTGCACTCCCTAACCGCCCAGTCTCTGTATCACACTCCTCAAATATCCATCTTTGTCTGGACTTGATATTCTGCTTTGAAATCACCTGGGACATTACATTAGAGAAAGTGCAGTCCAAACAGATACCTAGTCTTTATCAAAGGGAATTGAACCTTTAACCATTTTAGGCAAAGACTAAGCCCACGTCACTGTCCGGGCTGCCTGAGTTTCTTTTTTTTTTTAATACAAAATTTCTTGATAGTATATAAATATATCGTTGATAAATAATTCTTGTATTTTGAATTATAACTTTTATCTTATAGCCCCTATTAATTGGTATCAGATTTTCACATATTATATTTAAAAAAAAATTGATCAATTTTTCTTTGTTTCAGATGATTCAGAAATCTCCGCCAAAGGAACAAAGGAAGCCACGCCTTTAGATTCTGAAGTTGCAGATTTTTTTAAAGTATGTATAATATTTTGAAAGCGATTGATTTTAATGATAGCCTTGAATAGCTGTTTATAAATTTTTGCTTAATTCCACTTACAGTTTAAGTATTCAGACCTCATTAGAATTTACTCATAAGTTTACTTGCTGTAGATCTATAAGTATGTCAGAAAATAACATAAAACCTAAACTTTTATCCTCAGAATGTCCCATATATATATATATATATATAAGTTTAAAGTGTAGACAAGTTTTTGTATATTGTCAAAAATTTAAATTAAGGAAACGTGTCTTTTCATAGTTCGGTTTTAACATTTTGTGTAGCTTTCTGTTTGAAAATTTATCTAATTTCTAATATTTTTTAGTATGTATTTTATTTTTTTACAAGAATGTGTAAAAGCTTTTTTACCTTACAATTTCATTGTTTTACCATTATAAAATTAAATATTGAAATATATTTTTACATAAAATTATCTTAGAATAAAGGAATTTTATAAATATGTTACAAAATGTTTTTTGTCTCACTGAAAAACTTCCTAAAATATGGCAAAATATGCAACAAGGGAAATTAAAATTAAGGCGTTCGAACTCTAAACTATTGAGATCATAATTTCAAGAATGTGGCTACCACCCGTATTTTATTTGTCAAAAATCGTCTAAAATGTATGTTTTATTCAAAGAAAGTACGTTTTTGTATCTGCTTTCGTTACTTAACCCAGAATGGTCCAGAAGTATTTCAGGTTTACATCCCTCACCAAGTTGCGACGTAAACAAATAATAAAATTATTTTAGCCATCATATATGCAGCATTGGACCTGATAAATAATGATGCCATGACATTAATATGTAGTCATTTGTCCGGTAAGGGTTAAGTTATCCTCTATACTAACTAATTAGCATATTTGAGGTCACCTCTTGAACCATGAAGGTTGGTACTTAACTGGAGCAAGTCCTATCATCAGAACAAAAGTTATTTAGAGTGATATCTTTTTTTTTTTTTGCATACTATATTTTATGTAATAATGACAAAATTCTTTAATATATTTTTTAAAAAAGAGGAAAGAGGAAGAACTATTGTTTTACCTTATTATTGAAAATAAAAAAATTAGTAAATATGTTAATATATATAATGAACAATAAAAATGCTACTTAAGTGAAGTAAATTGAAAGTGAGGAATGAAGAAAATGCTTAACTGCCAAACCTGACACTAATCATATTAAAATTGTTTTTGTGATTGATTCTCATGTATGTTAAACTATTTATGGTTCAGTATTGTTTATTATTATTTATTCAATAACTAGGAAATAGATGCTTTGACGGTAAATGAAGAATCAGTCAGTGAAGAAAATGTTTTGCAAATTGAAGAAGATAAAAAAAAGGAAGTAGCAGTTCCTACTGAATCAAAATTATCACATAATGATGAATCTGTGGCTGATTCAGTTTCTGAAGTTGAACTAGAAGTGAATAAAGAAAGTATGCATTTTTTAAAAATTGTTTTTGCCAAATTTTTTTTAATTTTATGAATTTTTAAGGCATTAAAATTTGTGTGTGTAAAATTAGTAAATTTTAAAATATTAACAATTTATGTAACTTAAAATTAAATGCTAAAATATCTTTTGCAAATAACACAACACCTTTAAACTCATCAAACAATTTAAAAAAGCTTTAAAGCGATTTTAGTGATAATCTTCATAAAATCCAAGAATTGTTTATTGATACAAATTCTTTTAACTTAAATAGTAACAAAACAAAGTGTATGATATTCCACCTTACAAATAGCTCAATATAACTTATCACTCAAACACGTGGGTTAATGAATTAAGCTGCAGATGTAAAAAAATAAAATCTGTGACCATGATAAAATACTTGGATGACGTATTGATTCAAACTTCAGTAGTGTGTGCAAATTGATTCAAACTTTAGATTGTGAAACACATGTAATTCCATAATAAATATTAAGATTTATTTTGAGCATGTTCTATTTAAAGTGAATAATAAGTTTTTTTTTAATTTTATGTTATGTGGCAGTACAAGGATATATTTATTATGGCTAATCAGTTTGGGGCGGAAATTATATAACTACTATTATTAAACAACATAATATTCAAGACAAATTCATTAAGTTCTTGTTAAATAAGAATGAATGAATTAACCAAATCCACTACCAGTTGCTCTGCATATTACCAATTTGTAATTTATTATTTTATAAATTATGTTTACATCTTTTGAAAAACCCAAACACTTGTAACAAAAAAGACACATCTAGCATGAGAAGACCTAATTAAATTTATTTTATACCCAAGCCTATCAAGAACATTTTTGGCAAAAATTTTTAGCATTTATCCCCAAAATACTTTATTGCTTAAATGATTAAAAAAACTCTTATAAATTTTTTTTTCTCTTCCTAATGTAACACTTTTTGATAGCTCTAAATTTATAATGTTGAGATTTTATTACTGAATATTTTAACTTTCTTTAAACCAAACAATTCTGTTTGTCACTCTTCAAAATTTAATTTTATATTTGCATTTGTAAACTTTTTGTCTTTCCATTCCTGTGTAGGAGTTTTTTTTAATTGTCTCCATTTATTTGTCATAATATATAAACAACATTTACTTTATTTCTTCCTTGTTTGTTTCTTATTTTTACTTTTTGTATTTTGAATTAATAAATTTATTGTTGTTAAAAGTATGCTAAGTAGATACATGGTGCTTATGATGGATAATGAAACAAATTAGCAAACATTTAAAATTTTAAGAAAAACATTTTAAGATTAAATAAAAAAAATGTCATTACCTTATAAGAGAACTAAAATGATAAACATAGCAGGAGAAAATCAATATCATTAATACGGAATGACATTAAATGTCATACTAAATGTCACCTTATGAAAGCACTACAGGAAATAACAACCTAACTAACAAAAAGGAAAAATATTAAGAAGTTAAAGTGGATGCACTGACAAACTCTCCTCCACTTTAATTTCTGTTTAATATTTTTACTTTTTGATAGTAAGTCTTATTTCCTGTAGTGCTTTCACAAGGTGATGCTTAGTATGTCATTTAATGTTATTTCGTGTTAATGATTTGGTTTTCTTCTGCTGCATTGATCATTTTAGTTCTCTTATGGAGTAATAACTTATTTTATTTCATCTTAAAATATTTTTTCTCAAATATCTATATATCCTATGTATTTATCTATATATATATGTATATATATATATATGTTTATATATATATATATGTATACATATGTGTGTGTGTGTGTGTGTAANTATTTATTTATTATTCAATATTTTTTAAAAAGATGCTGAAACGCGCTTAGTTCTACTTATTTATTTTTCAATCTGACGAGTCTTCATTTACAAAATTTTATAGGTTCATATTTAAGATTTCAAAGTTGCCACCTCCCCCTTTCCCTCAGGTGTGAAAGTTTGAGTTTTGTATCATTAGATAACTTTTAAAAAATAATGAATGTGACAATCTATCAATCCGATATATATCTATCAATATCGATCCACACATATATATATATAAAAATGTATATATATACATATATATATATATATATATATAAATATATATATATGTATATATATATGTATATATATTTATATATATACAGTCGAACCTCGCTATTGTGAACATGGTTTAAAGTGAAATCCCGGATATAATGGATAAAATGTTCGCTCCCGCGCCTTACTATACACATATAATATTATTTTTTGTGGATATAGTTAACCAAAATAAGAGAGGAAATTAAATATTACGAACTTTTTTCTGTCTTCGAGACTGATTTTTTTCCCATTTCATTTTCTGGTAATTTTGAAATTTCTACACAAAATACATATACCGATTTTTATGAGTGGAATGTAGCCATAAGCATTTTTTCTTGTTTGCTTCTTCTATTTCAGTTTCCCATCCCTAAATTTTTTGTACGCAAGACGAAGAGTAATTAAAAATAAAAGTTGACAAATTTTTTGTTACTACATATTGTTTTTTAATAATTTTTGTATTTCTTTTAATTGGTCTTTTATTTAAATATTGTGTAATAAAAGGGAGCAGTTCGGAAAAAAATTGTTAAAATTGTTTGCAGTATGGATATAGTGAACCGAAATTTCTGTCCCTTGAAAGTTCACTATACGGGGTTTGACTGTATATGAATATAATGTAAAAAATTTTAAACATGAAGAAATTTTTTTTATTAGTGTTTCACTGTAATTGCATTTTTTTTTGTAATAAAAAGTGCCTTAAAATATATAGTGTTTAGTGGTGCTTATTTTTTGTCAAAAAATTTGGCTACGCTCCCTGTTTATATAATAGTTAGTGAAGTTATGCCTATCATACTTATGTACAAGCTTAAATAAGGGTATTATATTTTTTTAAAAAAAATTTGAAATATTTATAAGTTGTTTTTAATCAGTTACTTATTTATTTTTAATACTATAATTATTTTTATTTATAATATTAAATGAAACTGCAAATGATTATTCTTTAAAAGGGTAATTATTTTCATTAGTATATGTTTATGGTTATATTTCTGAAAAGAACAGCATATTGGTGCTTATATCTTTTTTTTTTGTAGCCTATTGCACTTGGCAAGAAATAAAAGATGATTCAACAGGCTATAGTTACTATTGGAACGTAAAAACTAATGAGGTCACATGGGAAGTTCCTGAAGAGTATTCTGATTACAAAAGGTTGCTAAATGTTAGTAAGTTTGATACTAATGTAAGAGAGCAAGAGGAAAATAAAGAGGAAAGTCTAAAAACTCTACAGAAAAAGAAAACATCCCAAATTAAGGAAGGGTAAGTTTTGAATGTTTGACAGAAATATTATAATTTATCTATGATACAGTTGGGAAATGAAAAAAAAAACCGTCTTGACTAACTTTTAATCTTGTTTATGCATTATGCAGTAGAGAACCAATTATGCTGGATGCTCGAGACCATCACTATCCCGGATGTCTGAATTTCCTGGTTTTTTTTGGATCGGCCATAAAGTGTCATTTATCATTGTTTTATCAAACCCAAATTACAATGAAAAACAGTAATACATTTTAAAATAAGAAAAAGGAAGTTTCAAATTAAAAAAAAGTGGTAGAAAAGTGAAATTCAAAGAGTAAAAACATTTACAAATTTAGACAAGAAAAACAAGTTTAAAAAATACAAAATTCTCATATTTATTTTTTGAAAATTAATTAAAAACACCAAATTAGCTAATGTAAAACGAAATTAATTATTAAACAAATCATTATATTTCATACGTAATTATAAGGAAAAAAGAAAACAATAAGATACAAGGAAATCTTATTAATGAAATTAAATAAAAACATTTGAAAATTTCCTAACTTAAACGATAGTTAAAAAAGGCTCTAACATAAATATTATAACCCGGGACGAGGCAGAATATTATAAGATCAACTAAATTTTTAAAAAAAAACTGATAATCAAATAAACAAAAAGAATGAATTTATTAAGAACAAAATTTATTGTGAACGGTTTAAAAAAATTCAAAATATAGTGGAATCAGAAATGTATCACTTTTAAAATGAGAAAAATGCAATCTGCTTCATAAAATAATCGTCTGTTGTTAGTAATAAATAATTGTAAACTTAGATTAATAAGCAAACTTCTCCTTTTATTTTTTTTATAAAAGCAGATGATTTTTATTTTATGTAGCAGATGATCTGACATGGGACGAGGCAGGATATTATAAGATCAACTAAATTTAAAAAAAAAAACTGATAATCAAATAAACAAAAAGAATGAATTTATTAAGAACAAAATTTATTGTGAACGGTTTAAAAGAAATTCAAAATATAGTGGAATCAGAAATGTATCACTTTAAAAACGAGAAAAATGCAATCTGCTTCATAAAATAATCGTCTGTTGTTAGTAATTAATAATTGTAAGCTTAGATTAATAAGCAAACTTCTCCTTTTATTTTTTTTATAAAAGCAGATGATTTTTAATGAAAGCAGATGTGATTTCACATCAAGCAAAACTTGCAAATGATACCTCACTTTTAAAGAATCAGAATTTATTCAAGGTTTCTGTAAAGGAAGGTTCCAATTGACAGTTTTATAAAAATTGACGTTTCTCGAGGAATGATCTTATTTTTAGTCTCTGTTTCAGTTCAATCATCCCTATTTCATACTATGGAGGATCATCCTCTGATGAATCTGCTAGTGATGATAGCTTATCTCAAGCATCTCTCAAAAGTAACAGACATGCTGAGGAAGCAGTATCTGGTATCATTGGACCTTTACTCCCACCTGACTTCCAATTTCCACAAGAGGTTTCATCTTCAGTTGAAAATTCAGAAACTAAGTTTATTTTAGAAAATAACTCAACTTCTCAGAATTCTATAAAAGAGTCTGCTGGTTCTGATAGCTGTTTTGATCTGCCGGATAATGAAGCTTCGGTAAAGGTCTCTATTACTAATTCTGAGTCCATTCAAAGTGAAGAATCACCACGTGCATCAACATCATGTGAAATTCTACAACCAAAATCAAAAGACTGTAAAGATGTTGCCTTTTCTAATAAGACCAAAGAAAATCCTGATTCTAGTAGTATGGGAGAAAAATTGACCATTGTAAGTTTTTAAAAATCTTTTATTTTATTTTTATCTTAGTTATGATATTTTTACTTAGTTTGTCTTAGTAATTTATTTAACTATTTTAAGTTACATATTTAACTATTTTAAGTTTTTTTTTCCTTTTAAATTCATCAATCATATTTTTTTGTTTAAAAACTGCATTTTCTCATTTTGTGAAGTGCTGAAAGAAGTGGTTTATTTTAGAATTAATAAATTGGTATTTACATTCTTCTTGATATTATTTTTGCTTAAACTTAACAGTTCTCTGGACGTATGATGAGTTTTAGTGAAATTGGTTGCTTGTTAGCAGATTAAAGCTACAGAAATTGAAAACTTTGGAGGAAGTGGATACAAGATTTACGTCAAAAACCACAAATTGCTTAAAATATTTAAAATCCTGGAAAGTTCTTTTTTTATAATAATAAAAAATCATGATGTAAATCTGAAGATAGAACAAGGTGTTCCAATTTCACACCATCGTTCTTGTGAAAGAAAATTTCAAAATTTAGAAAAAGCACTGAATGACTTCCTAAAAAATATGCATAATATTAAAAGATTTTATTTAAAAATTTTTTTTTTTGTATTTTTAACCTTTTATGCATTATATTAGTATGCTTGCACTTTATGAACATTAAAAGAAACTGCTTTAATTTCAATTATTCTATCAGTCATATTTCAATTACTCTGTCAAAGACTAGGTGGTCACTTTTCAAGGAATCTATTATCACTTAATAAACTTTTGTAAAATCCACAAATTTTCATAGGATCCCTCTATTATTTTCATTATTTATTACTTAACTTAAGTTTTTTATGGAATGAATCTCATATCAGGATGGATTTAAAGATATTTAATTTTTAATTAGAATATTCAGGATTGGCTAAGTTTTGCCCTCTAATATGACAAAAACTTGTTTATTCCTGTTTTATGTGGCAATTTTTTTGAGTGTATGCGTATTTCTAATTTATAAGATGTTACAAGTTAGTTTATTAGATTCAAATTTTTATTAAAAATTTTTAGTTACTAATTTTTTATGTTACAATAAGTTATCATTAAAAAAATCTAAAGCTAACCACTTTTCAAATAAGAAATATCAGTATAATGCAATCGATTATTTAAAGATGCAAAAGTATATAAAAGCAATTTTATTAGTGGCCTTATATACACAATCTGGATCTCAGGGGGTTGAAATCAAGAAAAGCTTAGTGACAAATATTTTTATTACTATCAAATAGCACACGGACAAACATACATTGGAATAATTGCGAGGAGTAAAAGGAAAGTTTGCTCTATCCAAAGTCTGAGCATCTACTCACAGATGGCACCGTGGTTGCTTACAACTTTAATTTTTGACTATGTTAATTAAATAAAAAGTTCATGAATACCATAATGTAATAATCATATCTTTTCAATATAACAATATGTAAATTTTTGAAGCATTTCTTACAATCAATTTATTTCAAATAGAAGTTATTTGCATTGATCTTTTATTCTGTTAGTTTTAAACAGTTTTTGCTTCTGTCCTTACAAAAACATTTTGAATCACATCAACCTTAAAATATATAAATGCATATTGAATAATAAAATTTTACAACTATGTTATTATTAATCATCTTGTTACAATAAGAAAAACTTAGATACAATGTTTTGTGGCCATTCTGCGTGAAATGATTCAATTTAGGATTATATAAATCACATGTTGAATTGTACTTTAGTAATGAACTACTAAAAATATCTTACAAATTCATTTGTCTCTAAAATATGGCATTTTCAAATATGAATGACAAGGGATGAAAAACAATTTTTTTTATACAAATATGATTGATTTATATATTTATTTGTTAAAAGCTAGTTCTCACAAGATTTATTTTTAAAATATTTATTTTGTTAAAATGCTTTTCCTTTCTGTTACGTTTATAGGGTCCCAGGCCTGTTGTTGATTATGATAGCTGTACAGATGAAGAGGAAGTAAATAATGTGCCTGATATTTTATCCACTGTTGTTGACTATGATAGCTCCACAGATGATGAGGATGGAGTTAGTAGTCTATCTGATGTTCCAAACAAAAAACCAGATGTTGCATTCATTGAGGCATCTGCTGTATGTGTGAAGAATAAAAATAGCCAACTTGTGAACTCAAACGTAGGTTTTGAGGATGGTGCTAACCGAGATAATTCACCAATTGAGCAATCATCTGATAAGTTAGGCATGAGTGAAGATCTACCTCTGTCAGAATTATATTTACCAATGAATGTCACTGTTAATGTGAAGCGTAAAATTCCTGATACTGAAGAATTACACCAAGACTTTCAAAATGATCTTGCTACAGGATCTAAAAAAGTGAAACTTTCTGATCGCATTGAAAACATTTTACCAATTTTTAAAGAAAGTCATGCTTATAGTGCCCAAGAAGGCTTGGGTTTTAGAAAAGAAAATTTGAATGAGGACTTATCTGAAAAACGTCGTTCACCTTATTCAAATGGTTTAAAAAAATATTTACCAAATAAGGATTACAAATCTTTAAGCTTCATAAAATCCGAACATGTTCTTGAACTGAGTACATCATTATTAGGAGAAAATAAAACTGAGTTATCAAATAAAAATAGTTTTGATGAAGTTTCCTCACAAAATATTGTGTCTCCAGGTTCTGGAAATTCTGATAATCAAGTGAAAGAAAGTTCAACCTGTGATAAAAAATGTACCTCTTCTAACGATGCAGAAAGTAAAGAATCAAGTGTTTCTTCCTTTGATTATGATGAGGATAGTATTGAACAAATAGACAGAGCATTATGTGAAGCTTTAGAAGCTAAGGTAATTTATATTTTTCCTCTTTCCTTCAGAAGCAATAAAGTATTTCCCAGAATTGTGATGTTTAAAAAACTTAATGGACATTTTAATCTTAAGCATTAAAAGAGCTATATAATATGTGCTGTATTTGATTTGCTTTTAGAAATCTATACATTAAATATGATAGTTATTATAGTAAGTAATAATACTATAATTTATTCAAATGCTGAAAATTTAAATCAGTTCTTCATTGCAGTCCAAGTTTAACAAGGTTGTTTTTAGTTGCCCTGAAATTTCTAATTTTTTCTGATGAAAAATATTTTGTCCTAATTTTTAGCTTTCTGTCCTGATATTCCTGATTTTTGTGTGTTTAGAGCATCCAATTTTACAAATGCATATTTTTAAACAATTGATTTAAAGAATCAAAATACTTGGATTTCGATCCAACATGTTTTGTTTGAATTAATAATGGTAGTAAAGATGACAAATTTGATAGTTCAAACTGAGGGATAACCTATTGATGATGTTTATGGTTCAGACATATAAATTTACTTGCAGGATTCATTTTTTCAATCTTAGGGACAATACAGTTTCATTATGAAAAAGGAAATTTAATCAACAATTTTACATTATTAAATTTTTATGGGGATAAATTCAAGAATTATTTGTTTACTTATTTTCAGCAAATGCAGTAACAAATCTTATAGAGTAGAGTTTTGTAGTTTCAAAACTGTTAAATCATCTCTTTCATTTGATATAAAAAATTATCGAATGTAATCTACAATACTGTAATCAGATAAATGAGTTATTAATTTGTGAATCGAGGGATTATCCTTTAAATTGCTTTTGCACAATAATGTTAAGCAGCCTATTCATTATGTTTTCATTTCAAGATTGTTGAAACTCTATTAAAAACTATTTTATTAAGATATTCTCAAGCTTGATTATATATTTCGAATTAGTATTAGTTCAGTGGAATATTAACTGATAAAGGTAATTTATTTAAAGTAACAACAGTGTTATAAATTTTTTCCACATATTGAGTTTGGAAGAGTATCAAATTACACTGCTGGCTTTCCCTTGATGCAGATGTTTGTTCATTTGTAATTAAAACTTTTAACAGCTCAACTCCTTTCTTATTTTGAAAGTATTTGTTTTGTCCATCAATAAATGGAGCAGTTATAAATGTGCATACTTATAGATGGATTAAAAAAATAGAAAATTTCCTTTTACTCACTATCACATAATTTTTTCCTTGTTTTTAATTTTGGAGACATTTAAATCCTCTTTTCATTTTGTTTTAATTTTAAAAATATTGTTTGAAGTGAAAGTTATTTTTATTTCACCCATAATAATATAACTTCTGATAATTTAGAATGTTTTAAACTTAGTTTTTTAATTTAACTAGCATCTAGTTAATTAAAAAAAATTTGCTTTTAACGTTTATTTATTTAAAAAAGCTAAACATAATTGATGTCAAGAATATATATATTACTGATACATAATTTATTCTTTCTGTGGAATACTTTTCAATGAATAATTTCATTCAATTTCATATACAATATTTGGACTTTTTAATAAATTATGCATATTTATAAGTTAATAAACATAAAAATAGAATTAATTTTCTAATAAAATAACTTTGAATATACCTGATGAAGCTATTGCTGGAATCAAAATTTTCATAGGAAAATGTATTGAGACTTTGAATAATATTTTTCATGAGAACTGAACTTTTCTTCATACTTTCATAAGAACTTACTTAACATTTATTCTGTATAAAAATTTAAAACTTAGTGATTTTGTATGTTAGCTGTTATTATTATTTGCAATATTCATTTATATTTCTTTATGGAAGCACAATTGTTGTACATTTTGTAATTTATTATTTCCTCATTTTTAAATTCTTTTTTATGTACAAGTAACATGCATACTACTACTCATTTGCGGTGATACAAAATTGTTCTATTACTGAAAAATGAATAGTAGAATAGTAGCTGTGATAATTGCTTTAGCGAAATGTTATTTTAAATTATCAATATATATTTCCAAGCAGCCCTTATGGTGACAACGGTCCTTCAGTCAACTGCATCAAACCATTAAAGTATGGCTTGTCCTCTTCTTCTTTAACCCAGCAGCTTTGCCAAAATGAGCCTTTTTGCAGGGTTTTAATAATTTATTCCAAAACATTTGCAGTCTAGTTTAGCTCATTGATTTTGATAAATTTCATATCTGGGTATTTAAGGTATTTATAAATTTCTGTATCATAAAATCTTTTTCCGAAGTCATTTTCTCTTTGTCCTCCTAAAATAGAACTTTTACTACAAAATACCCAAATAGAACTTTTCAGATCAAGTCAATGTCTATGTTTCAGAGCCATAGATCAAAATAGGTATAATAAGAGTTTGATATAACAAAAATTCTAGTTTTCCATGAATTAATTGTGGCTTAAAAATATTTCTTAGACTGTAAAAGGTTTTATTGGCTGATATTTTTTTCTTATTTCAGATAAAATGCTATTTTGTCTATTAATTTCTGACCATAAGTATTTAAAGCTAAGAACATATTCAAAAGTGTAAGTGTCTAAGGAAAGATTGGAAGTATCTAGACAAATAAGGAAATTATATGTTTTGTTTGTTCCTTATTTATGTTTAGTTGTAAAGCCTTTGCAGCTATTTAAAAACCTGAAAAGCCTTCCCCAAATGAGTAAAAGATCTTACAATGCTAATAACAGCCTCAGCATTGACTAAAATCTGAATAGACTTGGAGAAAATATTTTCTCTCAAGTTTACATCTGAGTCTCTCAGCACCTTTTCAAAAATAATGTCAAAAAGCAAGCCTAAAAGTTAATCACTTTTTCTACCTCCCCAGCCTTAAAAAATTATTTTGATTGCTTACATTTGCTGAACTATATTTTTTCCTATGAATTTTTATAATTTGAGTATATATTTGCATAAAACATTTTTTGAAAACATTTTAGAAAAATGCTGAAAAAATCACTATTTCTGAACCAGCGGCATCACCTTTGAAGGAGACAGGTGCAAATGATTCAGGTGAGCTTTTTTATTTGTATTCATCTCAAGTGAAATGTTTTGTGGGTCCAAAGGAATAGAATATTATAATATTTCTTAAATATTCTTAATAAGAATTATAGAATATTTCTTAAATATTCTATAAAAGGTTTTTATTTTTTTTCATCTTCTAGTTTTCATACTGTATGGAAGTAATGCTCTGACAATAGCTTTGTAAACCATAATTTTGTTTCAATTTTATTATAATTGCTTATCTTGTGGTATAAACGCTCCAGCACAGCAGTTCATTGCAGCATCTGCAGCTTTTTTTTTATTTAATTTTTATTTTTAAAAAGCCAACAAACAATTAAGATAAAATTGCTGAGTAAAATAAATACTCTTTTTTAAAACATCTTTAAACTTGCTTCAAATAAAAATTTAAAAGCTGAATTGAAACGACATTGCAAAGAGCAAAAGGATTTCTCTTTTGTTTACTTGATTACAGATTTAGCATATTTCTTTTTTTTCTCAGTATCATTGTATAAAACCTAAGCAACATTAAATTTTTATGTATAGGTACTTTATATTTGCAAATTTTGCTTCATGTATGTAAGATTTTTTTTTTACGATAATAATCTGTAACTGCATTGAAGGCAAATTTAGATTTATGAAGATAGTGCTGCAGATTCACTCCATGAATTCTGCTACCAGGGTTGTATATTTATATATTTTGTATGGTAAATATGCATTTAAAAATGTAAATGAAATGTATTTGAAATCGTGTACTCATGATGTGTAAAGAAACTTTGAAACATAAATTCCATTCATAGAATGAACAACAGTTCCAGGAATGGAAATAAAAATGTGTCACCTTCTGCTTGACTAATATTTCTAAACACATTGCATTGCTAGTCACATGTGTAATTTTGAATTTGTTTTTTGTATTAAATTGATTATTACTACCGTTTAATTTAATTATTGTTATTTTAAAATTTTATTTGTAAATTAATGGTTAAATAAGGGTGATCAATTTTATATGATTTCATTGAATTATAAAATACAGATACCTTAGTACCAGATGTTCAACGAGAAATTTAAATGATCTAAAAAAAATTGGCCCAACAAGGAATGGAAATATCAGTATAGAAAGTCATTTAAAATCTGCAATCTTGGTATTAAATGTAAAGTATAGTGGTGGATAAAATTTAATATGCAGTGAAAAGTTCTATATCCAAAATTGTTGGGAGTCCAAAAAAGAGTTTTTCTTATGATAAGTCTTAAAGGTAAGCAAGCATCATAACATGTTTTATTCAATAAAGAAAATAGATCGATAATAATTAAGTTAATTTCATATATTAAAGTTTTCTTATAAGTTAAAAAATAAGTAAAGAGCAGACGGAAAATTTGAACTTTTTCTAGCCAAGTTTATTTTTTTTTAACAGCTCTCATCTTTTTAACAAATCTTTTAGTTTGCTTATTGAAGCAGAATAAATATTTAGATATCAGTAAAGCTGCATGAAAAAAGAAAAAAATATGTACTATATCTTTTTTAAAAGATTCAAATGTTGAAAATTATTATTTTTTTATAAAAAGGAAAAGTGATTTGTTTATTTTAATTGTAAAAAAAGTCTTCGGAAATAGACGTTTCCAGTAAACATATGTCGAGCTATGTAACTTTGTGCTGTATTACACAATTTAAAAAATTTATCAAAAAAATACAATATGAGAGAAATCGGCAAATAGTTCCTGAGAAGTCAAATTTTGAAAAAGTCTTTTATTTAAATTTCAATTTCTCCAGAACTATTCAACCAATTTCACTCAAATTTTGTATTTTACCATGTAAAATTATGTAAAATGTTGTCTACCTTACTATTCAAAATTGTTTTGACAATTATTGAATAAAATAATACAAAATAATGGGTATTTACCAAAATTTATTTTTCACATGAAATTATCTTTGGATAAATGAATTTTATAATTGTGTGGAAATTTTTTTTTCAATCCGCTTAAAAATTTCTCGAGATGTGGCGAAATATGCACAAAGGATAATTAACATTAACTTTGGATTGCTCTCCTGATCAAACTATGGGGACCATATTTCCCAGATTGCGGCTGCCCCTTATATTTTGGGGGTTAGAAATCCGAATTCATCGAAAATAAGGTATGATTATTTAGAGAAAGTATGTTTTTCTTCTGACTTCGTAACTTTATCATCTGCATCAAGTAATTAGCATATTTGAGGTCACCTCTTCAAACCATTAAGAATGAGTAGAACATGAAGATCCGATCATTAGATCGAAAGTTATTCTGTGTGATCCATTTTTTTGGCGCACTGTTCATGATGCATGGGAATAGCAACAGCAGCAAGAAATAGAAGCAGCAGAGATAGAAAAATAGTGTGACTGACAGAGGTATATATACTAACAAGCACATTAGCTGATAAACTACCACACTTTTGTGGTATCAAAAGTTATAATTATTCATCATCTTAAAAATTCAACTGTAGACAATTTATAAGTAAAATAAATGCAAAAGAGTGACTGTGACGTTGCATTGATGTTATCTCCATCTTGCAATGCACCATAAACTAACCATGAACAATATAAAAGATTATCCCTATCCCATGTCAATAAGGTGAACTTTGGCTAGTAACTTCAGTGGATTGATGCAATTTGATGTGGGTATTCTGTGAATGCATGCAGAAAAGTTTGTCTTACCTATATCAATATAAAGCTTTCGTTTACTTTTTCTTTTCTTGTAATTTTCTTCATTTTTGTGTAAATATTTTTTAGTAATGTTAAATAAACCTACCGCTATATTTAATTTTTTTTCATTTGTCTTTTAAAACTCATAAATTGAATTTATAATTTTCAGATATTTCCTGTGAAATTGGTCTTTCATCCATGGTATGAAATTTTATTTGTTTAGTTTCTAATTTCATGTTGTTCATTTCAGTATAGTACTTAGATAGATGTTACACAGTGGTTTTGCCTGAAAAGTTTTCAGTTTGTACGTTATGTATAGAATTTTTTATACAACAAAGAGATTTTAATCAAAAAACTAGGCTAAAGGTGGCAACTCTCTTAAGAAACAGGAAAAACCTGGAATTCTCAAGAAATTTTAATATATGACTGGAAAACCTGGAATTCTCAGAGAAACAAACAGTTAACCCTTTGACATTCTCAGAGTATCAGCAATTAATAATAATTACAGACAAGTTAACAATTAGTGTGTTTTAATCTAGTATTTACTACCCACTAAGACTTTTTTTTCTGACTAATCATCATCGTATAAAAACTTATACAACATTGTTCTAATTTGTTTTCTTGTTATCAGCGCTGTTTTAATTTTCCATAGAAATTTTTTTTTTTTTAAATCCATTCATACCTATATAGTAATTTTAATAAAATTAAACATTGGATTTATGAAACATAAATTAGAATTGGTAATCATTTACCCTTTTTTTAAAAAATTTTTTTAGTGTAACTTTTATGTGCGACACAATGAGTAAATTCAAATTGAAGATATGATTATGCATTTATTGATAATTCTTAATGAACATGTATGCAAATTATTAAATTTTAAACTTATATTACAAAATCCTGTAAAATGTTTACAAATTTTGCTCTGGGAATCCTAGTGATTTTGGTTTTATCTGAAGTATGGTTTCCCTGATTCTTATGGATGCTAAAATGTTTATGTATAAAATTAACTTTGAAATTATGTATATAAATTATATATATATATATGTGTATGTATATGTATATGTATATATATATATATATATATGTATATGTGTATGTATGTATATACATACATGTATGTATATACATACACATATATATACATATTTATATTAACAAAGAAAAGGGGCCTCTCAATGCTGTGAATTGTTGAGTTTTTTTAAAAAAATGTATTTCTCTTTTTTGCTAGGATCGAGAACGAACCATAGAAGAAGCTGTTACTTTGATGAATAAATTAAGATTCATATGTAATGTCTATCCAAGTTTAACTGAATTAAATTATCTTCTTATTCAGTCTCAGGTAACTATAATATTAAAGTGAAATTTTATTAATTATTTTCTCATCTTATATTAATGTCTATTTAGTTTTTGTTTATAAGATCTTTTTATTGATGCATTTGTTATCTGATAGAAATTTTTAAATGTTAGAACTTTTCATGTATTTTGCTTATTACAGTTTTTTTTAATTAATGAATTTTTTTTTATACAATTTAAGCAAATGTCAATTTCTTAAACGATATTAACGGGTAGCAAGGAAGCCAAGAATAGCACATACTTTTTTCACATTCAGCTTCAATAAAAGAATTTTTAAAATGTCTCTTATAAATCATTTTTTAAAAATACTTTCACTTCATTCCGGATCATGTTAAATTGGGGCTCGTAATAAATTGAGATCATCTGGATATATTTAAATTTTTGACTCATATTCAACACAAAATTGCTTTGAGCCACAATGTAATTAAAATTATCATGTAAATGTTGGAATATGTATAACTACTCATGAAAGAGAGTGTAAAGGTATCTCAATAAACTTTTTGTAGTATATATGCTTCAAGGAAATGTTCATTTAAATATTTAAGTTTAAATATATAGTAGTACAAAAACTTATTTAAAAAAAATTTAGTGTGTAATAAAGTGTGTTTTTTATTATTAAATATTTCGCTTGAGAGGTCCAGGAATAAGTTTTCTATAATTCAAAATAACTTATATCTGCAAATTAGTTTTATATCTGTAATATTCCAGAAAATATCTAACATTTATGCACTAAAGGAAAATATTTTTCATTGCTATTATTTATCACAAGCTTGGTGGATAACACAGCATAATCAGTAGTGCCAAAGAAATGTAGCCTCACAATTGAGAAATTTTAATTTCATGACTGTTTTTTAGGCTTTAAAACATGAGTTTTTTTCATATAAAACTTAATTGACACTGCATTCTTAAACTGAATCTTCTGTGATTTGATGTATTGAAATTGAATTAAAAGCTAAAATGTATCTATGCCTAACCCAGAAGACAAGGAATCTGTGTTAAGCATTCAGACAAACTCATTTCTCTGGAATATATTTTAATTTTAACTTATCAGCCTAAATATAAAGGGAATGAAAGTTACGGTTTAACACTAAACCATAATCTGTCTATCCATTTTACATTCTATCGCACTATGGTCTGTGTAAGGCAGTAACATTAAACAAATTGAGCAACCATCACAGGAGTTGGAACCTGGGTTTACTTGGTGAAAAATAAGTGTTGTGTTTTCTAGGAAAACCAACAAGGGGGGACTTTTCTAAGATCCTCAAACACAGCCTGTATTTCAATGTCTCATAATATTTTTAACTCAAGGCTTCTAAAGCTTGCGTTTTGGTGCTATAGAGACCTTATTAATTTTGTATTTATATCTTTTTAGACACGTATTTCTGATTGGAAATGCGGAGCCCTCAATGAAATGTATTTTTTGGATAGACTCCAGGAAGTTAACCGTTATATATGTCAATATGAAAATAGTATCTCCAATCAAGATTGGGCCTGCAATTGGGACAGGTACAAATACATTACATCGTTAATAAAAATGCTAGTAATTTAGTGTAATTTTAATCATGATTATTTAAACATTCTAATAGAAATTTATGCTTTACTCAAATATTTCTTCAGCATTTTTGATAATTTTATGAACATGGACAATTTATTTCAAATTGTCTACCACTTACTATGTATTTCTTAAGCATGGGGCTCTGATATCCTTTAACTGTTTAGTTAAATAGTTACTTGAAGATACAAGTTGAGAGCAAGTCAAGTTTCTACTTTTATTAGGTAAGATATTTTAAATATTTATCTTTCTTTTCTGTTATAAACTTAATTTTAGACTGTATAAAGTAGTTCTTTATCAATTGTTATGGAAGACGAATAGTGTTTATGGTAGACATGTCTCTGTGTTTTAAATTTAAAAGTTCAGATTAGCTATTAATAGGAACCTTATAAACAATTGCTTTTGCCATTTATATCTATGAAATTTTTAAAGTAAAAGCCATAAAGTTTAAAGATAAATGCTTGCTAATTTGTTTGTTGGAATATCATAAGCAATTTATTTTATCAAGTAAAGAAAGTATCATGTAGTATTAAGTAGTTTTTATCTCAGTAGTATTTATTTCTGTCGTAATTAAATATTGTTTATCAAGCAGTATTAAGAATATTTTTAACAAACAATAAATGTCATTAGATTTACATATAATTTGTTTTTAGGCTTCATATGTCTCAGGAAAAACCTGTAGAAACTATTAAATTCTAAGAATTTAAAATTGGATTAAAAACTTAAGGAAAACTGAAAATATTATTCTCTTGCTTTTTAACTGTTGTATTGTGTTGTGTGTACTATTTTTTTAAAAATTGTTGTTCTAGATAATCAGTGGAATTTTTTCTAAAAATGAAATATACACTCTGGTTGTCTACATGCACACACAGCCAAATTTGTTTATTACAAATAAATGAAGGCCAAAATAATATGCTCACTAATCTTGAGTGCTCATTTTTTATGAGTTTGGAAATCGTCAGAAATATAAGTTATAGTGCTTAAAAAACCTGACTAGAAAGTATTTAAAAATGACCTATCTTTTATTGTTTTTATTTACACTAAAAAGAAAAAAAATTCCATCTCTTGATTTATCTGTGATTCTATCTTCAGCAAATTTTTGACCTTCATTATTTTCATTTTTTAAGATATATCTTAATAAAATGAATATAATCTTAAGAGTGTAGAAGTTTCTCAATAATTGTTTTAATTGGTATGCTTTTAAGAATAGCATATTTTTTTTTAAAAAAAAATGACAGTTCTTGCATCATCCCATTGTGGGAAAAAAAGGATCATGGAGATTAAGGCCCAGATCCCTCAATTTTGTGACCATTCTCATGACAATGAGATCATTCACTATGTGCATCTGGGCGAACTTCAATCTACCTCTGAGGATTGAACATGAATGCTTTACAATGACAGCTCAGTGCCTTTAATTAATGTGTCTGCACAGCTTAGCATATTTATGTCAGTTTAAATATACACTAGGGAACCGATTATCCGGAACGATCGGGACCATCACTATTCCGGATAACTGATTTTTCCGGTTTTCTGAATCGCTACAAAAAGCCGTTTTTTTTTATTTATTGTTTAACGAAACTAAAAAAATAATATTTGGAAATAATCTTAAAAAGAAGAAAAAACGATGAAGTAATACACTAATGATTATTTTCAAGATGATGGTAAGGTAAACATCTTTCAAAAAAGAACGAAAAATCCTAAAATCTTATGAGGAAAAAAAAAATTTTTTTTTTAAAAATGGCGAGAAAATTTATCAAAATTCGTTCCGGTTTTTTGGTTTTCCAGTTTTCTGATTTCCGGATAACGGGTTCCGTACTGTACAACAATATAAATACTAGTTAGTAAGAATTATTTAATAAATTAAATAAAGCATATTTTTATTATTAAATATAAAGTTTTATTATTAAATATAAATTAAACATTCTAATTTTCTTTTGTTTGATGCAGTGCAGAAATTGAATCCTGAATCCTGTAATTCAACTAATGTATTCGTTTTTTCAAGATTGAACTTCTAGGTAAATATAATATGATCTAATGTTATATCAATATATATATATATATATGTGTATATATATATGTATATGTATATATATATATATGTATATATATGTATATATATATGTATGTATATGTATGTATATATATATATATATGTATGTATATGTATATATATGTAAAATTATTAAGTGATGAATGTCAATTTGCGACATTTCCAGGGTTTCCACGGATCAGGAAAACCTAGAATACTGTCAGGAAATATTTTTTTTGCTTCTAAAAAGTAGCGAATAGTCAGGTAAAATTGCAACTTAAGAAAAAAAAACTGGGAAACTCCTACATCATGCCTAGAAAATAACTAGTCTCCGAAATGTCAGTAACAGTGATCAGTTATTGAGATTCAAGATAAATAATTCTAATATTTTCACATTGCAGTGAAACTCCCATGCTTTTATCCTTATTCAATGATACTTATTTGCTCACAAAATCTAATATTTGACATTACAAATAAGAAGTCAAAGTCTTCACCACTTGTATTGTATCTTTCTCTCTTCCTTCCTTTTTATTCTTGGTATGTTACTTTTTTCATTTTAATTTAGTTTTGAATATTCTACTTTTCTAATACCTTATACCTATTTTCTAATGCCTAAGATTTTTCTTAAATTACTTTACTGCATTACTTTAGTCGTTTTTCTGTAATATGTAAAGTTTTATTCAAATTATTTATTTTTTTGTTTTTAAATCTGTTAGCAACCCTAAAAGTATTTAACTGTAAAAGTTCTTTTCACAATTGAACTTCATATTTTCATGTTAATTTTGACTCACTGACTTTGTTTAAAGCCTCTATAGTATTCATATATGCTGTTGCCATGAAGGATATTGTTTTATCGATTATTATTGTATCAGTCCTGCTTAAAAATAGAAAATCTCAAAAAGTTCCTCCTAATATTTCAGACAAACTAAACAAATTCATGAATCATCATTGACTTATAGTTATTTATATTAATAGAAAGCAAGGAATTTAAAAAAACAAAAACAAATTAATCACTTTATCTATATTTAGTTGATGGAAACAATCTTTTATTTTTGAATACCAAACTTTAATAAATATTGCAGCTCATTCTTCTCGAAAATTGGATGCATGAGATGCCCATGTAGCATTAACACTGTATTTATTTATTTATTTTTTTTTTTTGTATCATATAATTCTAAAGTATCAAATGCAAAGTAAATAATGTAACTTTCAGAGGAATACATTCTTGTTGCGATATTTAACTTTATAACATGCTTAAATCTTAATCTCTAGTAGCATATCTATTCCATTGATCGATGAACTCAAAAGGGTCGCTCAACCAATTTAACTTATCAAAATTTGATGTTTGTATTTTTGGGATCTTGTGTTTATAGTTCTTTTGGTAGGTGTGTGGTTACTTGTCAGAGAGCATAGTTTTAGCTTTAAATGTCGAGTTATAATTTAGCATATATTTGTAATTTTAAGTAAGTTATTATAACTAATTTCTATGCATTTGTTGTTGCCTTGTGAAATTGGTGATAGGCCAAATACTTGCTGATATTGAGCTCTTTTTCTCTTCCTCTTGTTCCTTTTGTAAGCAGACTAGTAATTTAGAATTCCTCACTTGCGTTGGAACCCTGCTGGTGAGGGTTAAAATAAGTTTGAATGGACACCTGACATTTTATCTGAGGTCAGCTTCTATGTACTTGCATAGCTGTCAAGTGCTAACTTCCCAGAATATTCAAATAACAAGTTAAAGTAAACTTAATATGTTAAACTTTGCCTGCTTTTAAAAAAATCACAGCACTATTAATAGGTCTTATAAATATGTTTAAGTTTTAGTATGTAGTGATGGACAAAATCATTTTAAAGTAAATCAATAATAATGTGTAACTCATAAAATTTATTACCGCTCTAAATATTAAAATTAAAATGTTCTGATTAATCAGAACAAGTTAGCAGACATGTACTTGATCTAGAAATACCCGATCTGAAACTTAGTATGACTACTTGGAGTGATGCTTTCATCTTTGCTTATAGCATTTAATATAAACAAAGATCTGACAGATTTGGGAAATAAAAAATGGTAAATACTTTTAAATCTTGTTCCTGCAGCTATTGTAAGACATTCTCTGGAAGTCTGTGCTATCATACAACAAAGTAAGGATTTGTATGGTTTACTGTATGGTAAGGATTTGAGGGCTTATTTGTTTTGATCAGCAACCATAAAGTCTGATGAACTATGTTTCAACTACGTTGTGTACTTCAAACTTGTGATCTCTTACTGTTCTAACTTTCAGAGAGAATCTGTACCTACCATACCATGATACTAACAAACCATATTTCAGTTTGTTTTAAATTCCCAGTGTGTTTTTGGTCAAGTGACTTGCAATTATTTTTTTATTTCGCTGCCATGTCTTAATATTTTGAGGAACTCAGCAGATAAAGGTATTAAGTGAAACTATTAATAATGTTTTTGGTGTGAAAATGTATAAAATATTCACAAATATATAAAAAACAGTGAAGCAAGCTTTAGTGAAGTGATTTAGTGAAGCAAAAAGAGAAAAAGAAAAAATACATATAGACTTTAAAGTTAAAATGCCAGATAAAACTTTTCGTCATTCAGCTCTTAAATTATAAAGAATCATGTTACTCACAATTTCATGGTTCTGACTGTTTGTGCACCCAAAAGCAGATACTGTAAACAATGATGAAATGCATTTAAAGATAAGGCACTCTTTTAATACTATAAACTAATATCATCTGTACTATGATATTTAATTTACCTTCCCCTTCATTTGTTCATTTTTCAATTCACTCTCTCCCTCCAAGTTTTTTTTTATTTTTCATTATCTTACATTGTAATGTAATTTATCATGTCTTGATCTTAATTTTGTCCATTAGCACTGACAAAAATACTCATTTATTAAATTGAATTAACTGTATGTTTTAACTATTTTTATTTATGATTCATATAAATATTTTTGCCGGGGTAATTTTTTTTGCCATGGTTTTTTTTTAATGATTTACTCATAAAAAAAGTTTAAGAACAGTTTCAAGTGTGTCATCTCATCCGTAAATGATATAATTACTTTTGACAAAATAAACTTTTAGTGAGAAATTCTTATTTCACATCTCATTATTTATCAAACTGCATGACTTATTTGATGTAAGAGTAAGCCAAATAGTGTTTCTCTATTGAATATGTAAATAATGCCAATTTCTTTTAACGTCTGATTCTTCATCTGGCTTCAGAGTTAAGAGTCAAAAGAGTGAAGTCAGAACAATTTAAAAGCACAGATTTAGTCATATGAAGTCTCATAGATATTTTCATAGCCTAAATTTATGTAAATCAAAATATACAGGTAAAAGGGTTTTAAATAAAAATATTTGATGAGAATACGTTCTCTGGCTAATGACTTTTCAGTTAATCCAATGAAGAAAAATAAGAAGCAATGCAATATTGCTTGTCTTTTAATTTAATAATAAAAGTAATAATATGTGAGTAGCTTAGAAATTTCCAATTTAAAAGCTTTTGAGACTTCGCCTTACCTTATAAACATTAATTGAATTGCAAATGAAATGTATTACTAAGCTTAACAAGCATTTCATATTTGGGCAAGTTTGTATAGAGATTACTACTCTCTAGAGATTAGTCCTCTATACACTATTTTCAAATTTAATTATAAGGGGAGAAACAACTCCACAAATATTCAATCAGTTGACATTGGTCTTTCGTCTTAAAATAGATATTAAAAATTCAGTTTTTAGAGAATATTTTATCATTTTATCAAATTTCAGCATTATTTCCTATTTATGTTCTCTCTTTTTTTTGAGAAACATTTTATATAAGAGCAGCTAAAGCTTTTTCTTTTTATTCAATCAAATAAAGCAATTTTATTTATGTGGTATCAATTTTAAAATTTACCTTCAGCAATCTTTTAGGAATCATCAATTTGTTATAAGATTTTTAGAATAAATTTATACCTTATTTATCTCTAAATAAAAATTAGTTATATTTTTCTTAATCCTTTACTTTAACATGTCTAAAATCTCACTCTAGTGTCTTTAATTTCTTAAACAGCATGATAAATTTTAAATTTTTTAGTTTTCTGCTCTAATAATAGTACCCATCATTTCACTGCCCTGTAATGCTACAATTGGAAATTTTTAAACTAATTATGATTACTTTGGCAAAAAAGAATGACAAAATCAAAGGCAAAAAACATCAAAAAAATTTTTCAATTTACATTTAAAGTTACATTTATAGAGATATTAATATAGAGATGGAATCAATATGCTTTTCTACTTTACTGTTAAAATAAGAATAACATATTTTTCTAATATTTATTTGTTTTGTCTTGCAGTTAAGAATAAAGAAAATAGCTGTGAATTCTTTTGGAAAATATAGGTGAAATAATATCAAGCATCTGAGACAGCATCATTGTCTACCAAAAACCTAATGCAGTTGTTAACTCTGAAGTATATCTTCAAAGATGCTGAGTTGGTCTTTAAAGCTGAAAAAAGGAGTGAATTTGAATGTGTTTTTGTAATAATGAAGTGTTGCTTAAACATTTTCATATTCTTTATTTTAAATACATTCAATTATGAAGTTTAATCAATTTGTTGCTTCTTAAGTATTATTGGCTATTCTTATTTATAGTAATGTTATGTTAAGTATATTTGCTTGCAATTTTTTTATTATAATAATGTTTTGAAAAGTGTGCTTATTTTTTTAATGCTCTATATAGCTTCTTGATAAGATTGCATATTTATAGACATCTAAAAAAGTTTAATTAGCTTTAAATTAATAATCTATATATTTTTTATTTATTTATATATTTAATGATTCAAATAATTTTTGAACTTTCATATTTCTTTTTTTTTTTAATTATGAGATATTTGTAGTAATATATGAGGAAAAGTGAGCACCCATTTATGTATAATTTGAATCTTATATTTTATCAATTATGAAAATCAGTTTTGTACTCGAAAAAAATCTGCATTTTTTATCAACTCTACAAAATGTGGAAAAATATGAATTGATTAATTAATGTGTTTTGTATATTTGTAGCAAAGTGCAATAAAATTTTGCTGATTCAAATAGATATTAATCTTTAAAAAATGCAGAAAAGAATTATTAGAGTTTTAAGTATTAAAACTTAATAGCTATACTATTAAAACTTTAAAAAATCCGAATACTTTGCATCAGTGTTAAAATATCCATTCAAGTAGAAGTAAGATTAGTAATAGGTTTCAAATTATTACGAACAAGTAATAATTGGAACTTTTCAGGTTATTTTCAGGGAGGAGGATTGGAAGACTGCAACTTTTTTAAAGGAAAAAAAATATTGAAAATATATTTCCCCCCCTCTTTAATTTTTTTCCTACTCCTCGCTGCTTCTAAAAAACTGTATCTGCTGAAATAGTAAAAGTAATAAAATGATATCTTGATTATATTTTGATTAAGTATATATTATTGCATTTTGTAGGTATGAAAATTTATTATTCTATAAATAAATTCTACTAAAAAAAGTAACGACATTTTACTATATAGTAAAGGTTTACTGTTCTGTTGTCTTGTGTTTTCTAAGTTCCCTTCATGTAGTAAAATTTTTAGCACTGTGATCTAATGGTTATGTAATTGTTGTATAATCATAGACTCTAAGATTTTATTTTGCAAGCAAATGATATAGCTTAATTTGCATTTATATAAACATAATTTATAATTATTTAATACTTATAATTAAAATATCTTTTAATATTTTTATTATATTTTTCTTTTTTCTTTTATTTTTAGTTATCATGAAAGATACTATTTCCTCAATAGAAAAACAGGACTCACCAGAGAAACTTTTCCGGAATGTACTCCAAGTGATCAAGTCGAAACAAAAATCCCTGGGCCACAAGCAAGTGAAGTTCTGAATAATAATGTTCCTACTGTTTCCTCTTCTATGTCGAACATTCTACCCTCTGAGAACTTTCAAATTCATATTTCTAATGTTCGTGGTAAGTGTGACCTAAGATACAAATGTTTATATATGATGGATGAGTGGTGGAGGTTATGTTAAAATATGTTAATAACTTATTTGTTTGTGGTTACCACAACACCGGGAAATTTTGTATGGAATTGTTTGTCCCAAAAGAAGTCTGGTAATGATGCAATTTTTCCCTGACTTTGGTTCAGTCCAAATCCTGTTCTATTAAGTTTTTTAGGAAAATATAATATTATACCACTCCTATATCACATTGCATGCTTTATACTTGCTGTATATTGTCTTGCTATTAAGTTGTTGTTTGTATCATTTTAATGTAAAGCATTACAGCCCTGCTAGTATTCTAGCAATTTTTTTCATATCTTGCTGCTCTTGTTTTCTTCAAAAAGCATCTAAAGTAGCTGTTGCTTATTTTTTGTGTTTCTTTGTTTGTTTTGTAACCTTAAGTCAAACTATTTTAGTTTTAATACATTTATTTTTGCTTTTATGAATAGTTTTTTAAATTATTTATAATTATTATTAAATTTATTTTTGCTTTTATGAATAGTCAATTAAAATAACAGAATTTTAAAATGTTGAAATTAGATTTTAGAGAGTTGCTTATTTGGCATAATTGATTGGATCTAATCAAACTTTATTATTCACATCGCTTTAATTTTTTCCAGGTATGCTATAACTATTTTTTTTTAAATATTTTAACTTATTAACATATGTAGGCAATATATATTGGAGAGATGTGCATAAACTATTATTAACAATTGTAATATATCAGATATTAGTTAAGTTTTGTTAATATATATATATCCTGATTAATATTTTAAAATTGAAAGATTAAAAATATTAGGGTAAAAAGGAAAAAAAAATTATCTTAAACAAATATAAAGGTAAAATAAGATCTTAGTTTTTAAATGGAAAAAGGGACCACATATGTGCAGCTATAAAAAAATGCATTTGCTGTACTGACAGCTTTGTTGGAATTGAAAGATATTAAATTCAATATTATTATAGTGTTCTGTAAAATTTTGCGTGAAATAAAATTTTATGAAGTTTTTATATTTTCCTTTATAATAGCCATATAATACTAATTGTATTTTCTTAGTGATACTTACTATAAAGTACTATAACAAATAGAATTACATTTTAATTTTATTATTACTATTTTAATATTAACTATAAATTGGCACACTGACATTTTCACGTTAATAATAGTTACTATACTCTTTACAAAATGTTAGATAACTAAAGTTGTTAACTATTATGCTACTTTTTAGTTATTGTAAGGAGGATGTCAACTATTATGTTTTTTTCATAACCTCTAACAGAATTTACTTTTGAAATTGAAACTTACATTCTTATAAGTATAATTTTGCTCTTATGTTTTTTTAATTTTCTTAAGAATATATTTTAAGCTGCCTACTGAAACTGCTATTTTCGAATGAAGAACATTGACCGACTTGTCAAGTAAAAGGACACTAACTATTAATGATAGATATTTTTATATTGTTACTACTATTTTAATATCTATAAAATGTAACACTTACTGTAATTATTTGAAGCAATCTCTTTATTGTTTGTAATTTACTGCTTTGAAAAGTGTTAACCATCTAATGTTAAATTTCTGTAAATTTGTGTACAGCAATTCACATTAAAAGCATTGTAATTGGTTAACCTCCCTCCTAAAACATCAATAGTAACTTAAATACATTAAAATTAGTAACCTAATACATAATCTTAGTCTTTGTATTTTTCAATTTATTAAAATTGTTTTGATTATACCTTTTCATTTTTAGAAAGATTATTTAATCCTTTTAAGCTAATTTTCAAAAAACTTCCAACTGCTCGTACCATCATAAATAATTATTCAAGAGAATTTTAAGAGAGAGAAAGAGATTGAAAAACCTTTTTCTTCCCATTTTAACTCTTAGACTTAATTTTTGTTAGCATTTTACAATTTCAAATTATCATTCAAATCTTGAAAATTTCTTACTTCAGGTACCATGTTACAAATATAATAAAATTAGAAAGAAAAATGAGGGAGAACAATCTGTAATTGAAGTATCGCACTAAGATGAATGATCAATCCATCATTTCAGATACTTTAATAACCATAATATAATCAAATATAATATAATAAAATATACTTACTCAGCCATTATGAACATAAAGCAATAAAATTCCTCTTTATGCTGCCTCTATAATTTATATGATTAGAAAAAAATTGAAGTGATTTTTGGTGTAGGAGTATAGCTAACACTATGCAGGAGTTTCATCACTACTGCTTAAGCATTGAATTTAGGATGGAAGTTAATTCAAATGATACGTTAATTTGACTACTTAACCAGCGTTTATAGCAGATTAGAGAAACTCAAGAAAGCAGTTGGTCGATGCTTTGTTCTTTTTAAACAATTTTGGCAAAGAACTTTTGTTATTGGTGCAATTAACTCTTTATGACAATCATTTGTTGTTTGATCAAAGTTATTTTTATTGTTCAATTTTTACATGTACTTCCAATTGTGTTCAAAGTAAAAAGAGTTCTATATAATCCAACTGTATAAAAGTTGTATGTAATGCAATCTTTTCCATAAAATGCAGCTGTTCAGGCCATTAATTTTTTTTTTATAGATTAGAATGAGTTTCATGATCCCAACAAACATATTTTCCCTTTGTTATTTTTTTTTTTTTGGTAGGGAGAGGGTAGACATGGTTTCTAGCACTGTTTACTTTTGCCACTTTATGCCCTTATTATTCTAAATTTGGCATAGAATAGGTACATCTGACTACAATACAAATTATCTCTTTGATTTATTGCTCCCTTATTTAAACATTCTGTATCAAGCATTCTACCCTCCTTTCAGAGGTGAGTGTGACTTTTGTTTCTCAGAAGTATCCCATTTCTTTAAAGTAAACAATATTGCATGCTCATTAATGGGTTTTCCAGTGAATAAAAAAATTGAAGTAATAAAAAATATAAATTAAAGTAATTAAAAATAAAAGTGAATTAAAATGTTTACCTTGAATTAAGGTCTTATACTTTTTAAAAAGGTAAGGAGTATTGCTATAAAGGAGTATTGCTATTAAATAATGTGGAAAAATGTTAATTAAATCTTCAAAATTTATAATAAAAATTCTATTCCGAAATTTTTATTCCAAATAAAAACTCTATGTGTGAAATACATCACAGTATGATAGTTGATAATCAGGAAAAATTATTATATATTTTTGTATTTATTGGCCCATCAAGGATACAGCACATTTTTTTTTTGTATTAATGATACTACACAGTGTAGTCTATACTTAAAAATCAAATCTCGACCTTAATTCTTCTCTGCATAGCATTATTAGTTTCCCCATGTTTATATACAAGAAAATAGTATATGGGGAGAAAACTTTTTCTTCCAAATTTGCTGTCTGTTCGTGAAGCAACCAGATAGTCAATATGATTAATTTATAACAAGTATACAATACAATAAACTGCATTGCAATGTCAGTGATGGGAAATATAGGTGAAAAACAAAACTAGAGAAACTGCAGTAGCTGAGACTGAAACAAGAAAATGAATAATAAGTAAAAGTGAAAAAACAAAACTAGAAAATAGCAGGGGCAGGCAAATCAAGGCGGAATTCATTCTCACACGCTATTTAGAGGTGGTCAGGTATTCATGTTGTTAACTAGTTAATCTGCATTCATATGAATGAAAAATATTCTAGGGCATCAAGAGGAGTTGATATGACAGAAGTGGAAAAATTTTGGCATTTCCACCCTTCCACCTCCTCTCATCTGGATGCCTTTTCATTCATAGGAATGCTGGTTCCCTTGTTTCTACTGCAGTTTTTCTTAATTTTGTTTTCTCTCTTTTCTGCTTTATTTATTAGGTGAACCAGAAGGTATTGTTGTTTCGACACATTAAACATTTTTTAGTCTTAAAAACCAATTCATTTTTTCGATTAATTTTTGATCCAGCATTGAAAGGTTTTTGTGAATGAGAATGAATACATTATTGATTAAAAATAAAATCTTGATAACAAATATCAATTCCACCAAAACTACATTACTTTCCTGTCCACCTAATATTTTTCCTTTTCTGTTTCACTCTCAGCTATTGTGGTGTTTCTAGTTTTGTTTTTCACCTTTATTTTCCATTTTTTTATTGGTAACTTTATGTTTCCTGCTTCAAATAAATTTTGTTTTCCTCATTTATGTCTAGCCTGTCAAGAATGGGTGCCTAATTTTGAGTGACGAGAAAAAGGCGTCTTTTATTACCACTTTTGAAACAAATGAAGTTTTATATCATCAAGTATATTTTTCCGCTTCAGTTTTTAGGATTATTCATTTAGTTAATTTATTGAACCAAAATAAGATAATTTGACATTTTAAGCAATATTTGTTAATAATTGAAATTTATCTATTTCAACTTTAGTAATTTCCTATATATCAGACATAGTTATTTAATGTTTGTAAGTATTATTTAGTATTTATGATATAATTTTTAATTTACTTTCTATAAAGAATTTTATGTAACTACTATTTTTATTGGAGATTCTGTTGCCAACTCTTTATTACATTTTCTTAAAGAAAAATAGTATAACAACTCTCTTGCATGCTGAACTTTAATATTTTTCTTACTTTTCATTTTAGATGAGTTAAAAGTTTCTGCCAACTCATTCCGTGATGCTTCCCCACCGCCTCCTCCTCCAGGAGTGGATACTCCTCCACCACCTCCACCTTACAGCCCACCACCTTATACCCCTCCTCCTCCTCCTCCAGACAGCACAGAAGATGTTTATGATTTACAAGAAGATATGGATCTTGAAAATTCAAATGATTCCATTATCCACCCCATAATTTCTAATGACCCAACTTATGAAGTTAATCAGATAAAGTATTCATCAATGGTATGTTCTAATTTATAAATGAGGATATTTATGTTTGTTAAATATTAAATATGCCTTTATATAGTTAATAAAAAAATGTACACTTATAAATAAAAATACACCTGAAAAAATATACACTTGCCCTGAAATTTTTTTTAGCTCTAATACAATAGAGAATCATTATAAAGCAAATCCAGAAAGGGGAGGTTTTGCATTATATAGAATTTTATGTTATTTAGATTATTTTATGTATCATTACACTTACCTATTACTATACTTATGCTTTGAAATACTTTTTAAATAGAAATAGTTTAAAAGACAATTATATGCACTAAAGTATTTGTTTTTTTTTGCTGAAAAAAATTTTTTATCAAGAAAATTAGAACTAAATACGGACAAATTTATCAGTTTTGGTTTGTCTTAGAGATTGTAAAGTTATTGTGGTTTATGGAGAATTATGATTTATAGAATTGCATTACATAGATTTTCCATTATAATTTTGTAGAAATACTTTGATGAGAACTTTTAGTGGCTAGAAGTGCAATATTTCCGTATTGCACTCCTGGATGGGAGCACAGTATGAGTATGCTTTGAAAGCGTTTTATAAAACCTGCAACAGTTATGAATTCCTGCAACAGGTAATGGGTGATGTTATAGTAGAAGACCTACAGATCACTTTTAAATCAATGGTGGGAACCTAAAAGACATTATTTTTGAAAAATAATCTTCAGATCTTATATTGAAAGATTTAATTTTTATTAGTTCTTTCAGTTTGCAAACTTAATGTTTTTATATTTACTGTTTTATTTTGCATTTTTTAAATGGTTAAAGCTACACATTTACTCCTGATTGCACTTTTAAAATTGCTTAATCAGCTGATGTGGTACTTGCATACAACAGTTGGACTGAAAAGTTCATAGGCTAACATAGAAATTATTTTTTTTTTTTATGAAATTTGATTTTATTATTCAATAAAGTTGCCTTCAAGGGCGATACAACGGTTATAGTGGTCATATAATTCTTCTATACCATTTTTATTGTATGATTTGTCTTTAGCCTCAAAATTGGCCTTAGTTTCGGCGATTACTTCTTCACCGGCGCTAAATTTCTTTCCAGCGAGCATTCTCTTGAGATCTGAGAACAGGAAAAAGTCGCTGGGGGCCAGATCTGGAGAATACGGTGGATGCGGAAGCAATTAGAAGCCCAATTCATATAATTTTGCCATCGTTTTCATTAACTTGTGACACGGTACATTGTCTCGATGGAACAGCACTTTCTTCTTCTTCAAATGGGACCATTTTTCTGCTATTTCGTCATTCAAACTCTCTAACGCTATGTAATAGTCGCTGTTGATGGTTTTTCCCTTTTCAAGATAGTCAAATATTATACCATGCGCATCCCAAAATATTGATGCCATAACTTTGCCAACTGACTGTTGTGTCTTTCCATGCTTTGGAGTTGGTTCATCTCGTGCAGTCCACTCGGCTGACTGTCGATTGAACTCTGGTGTGAAATGATGAAGCCATGTTTCATCACATATTGACGCATAAATTCGGGTTTATTACGATTAAACAGCTTCAAACACAGCTCAGAATCATCAGTTTGTTGTTGTTTTTGGTCGATTGCGAGCTCGCACGGCACCTACTTTGCAGAGAGCTTTCGCATACCCAAATATTCATTCACGATATGTCCAATACATTTCTTTGATATCTTTAAAGTCTCAGATATCTCTGCAATCTAAAATTATTTTGTGGACTTTTTTAATGTTTTCATTGGCAGCAGCCTCTTTAGGGCATCCACTATGTGAATCGTCGTCGGTGCTCATTTCGCCTCGTTTAAACTTGCAAAACTACTTCTCAACAGTTTATTTTCCTGGTGCAGAGTCCGAATAATGTTTATCAAGCCAAGCCTTGGCTTCAACAGTATATTTTTTGTTGCTAAAAAGCAATGCTTTATTAACACCGAAATTCCTTTTTATCCATTGTTTTTAAACTAACAAAAGTTGCTCCACTAAAAATACTATATCTCACAAACTAAAAGTCGGTTGTAAACTAATAATAGCTGTCAAATTTACACAAGTGTCTTACGAAGGTTAGAACTAACTAAATATCATATGGATTTAATAATAGTAGTGCCATCTATGTGTCAGCCTACGAACTTTTCAGCCCAACTGTTATATGTTTTGTTTTCAAAAGATTCACATATAATTAGCAAAGTAAAAAAAATACTTTGAGAAAAGTTTTATACAAAGTTTTTACATGTATGGTAGATTTTAAACATAGTAGTAAATTTTATACACAAATTATTTCTATATTTTTATTTTAAGAATGGCAAAAACATTAATAAATACTTTTTTTGTTTGAAAATTCAACTTATTTTAATCCATAAAGCATGCCATAGTAAATTTTTGCTCTATCCTTATATTCTTTTTTGTTTAATTGTAGCTAACATAAAATTATGCTTTTAGTAATGTCTGTTTTTTGTTAGTCATATTACTTAATTTTAAAGTTAACTAGATTTGAGTTTCATCTTGATTGTACTGAACCCAACTTCTTTTTAATATTCTTAGTAAAATTTTCTATTTATATATTTTGTTTAGTCACCAAGTTTATCTTTGTCGAATAAATTAACTAGTATCAATGCATAAATCAAGCGTTAGTTTTGCATATACCAAGTCATTTTTATACCATTTTAGAGGTAATCGTAAAATCTAACATTTTAACAATATTAAAGTTAGTTATATCTTTTTAAGAACACGCCACAATTGTTTAGCACAATCATGCACATAATTAATTTTTTCCAACACTGCTCAACAAATTTGAGTGTTAGCATAGGAGAAAAATTTCTTTGTAATATTCTATGTAATATTTTATAATGTTAAATTTTTGTAATAGATTATTAATAATGTATAAATCTCTCACAATTTATGTAAAATATTTTACCTTTACGCAAAAAATTTAAACTTCAAAAATCCATGAAATTGAAATTTTTATTAATTTTAATTGTTTGTCTTAAATGAAATGTCAACAAAGAAAAAATTTCTGAGACATGATTATGAAATAGCATTCTATATTCTAAAATAAAACTTTTATATGTTTACAGTAAAAGCTTGATATAACAAGTACGGTATATTATGAGAAGTCTGCTATTATGACAAGTTTCTAAGTCACTGTTAAGATGCTAATATTAAAGATACAGAAATTATATGCTCATATTGAGTTAAAAATTACTAACCAACTATTACTAATTACTAACTATTGCAAATTTTTTATTTTCTTTAATTTGCTGTTTAAGTGAGCAAAATTATGCAAAAAGGATGAAAGAAAAGATATTTTATTTATGACTAGTACAAATGCAAAAAAGTGAGGAACTCTACATTATATCTAGTCTTATTTTCATTTCCAATTTAAATTCATTATGTTAATAAATAAACTTATGTGGGCAACCAGAGGCCAAGTTATCTCCTTTCTTACAAAAGAAAAAATATTTTGCTATTTTTAGGGCTTTTCCTGCATAGTTCTTGTGCTTTTTGTTGACCAATTACATTCCAGTCTTTTTTATTTCTTTTTCAACATGAGATATGTGTATAGTAATATCCCGTGGACAAGCTGCACCGCCATACAGGCTGAACCCGTAAACACATCGCCAAAAATTTCAATTTTAATCTCATAGAATTAGATCAAGAAGTAATTTTTTTTCTCTTCCAGAGATGATTGTGCTCTGGAAAAAATCCGGATTTCCGGATTTTTCTGTAAACGCGATGCGGAAGTTTCCGGAAATCCGAGGTCCAAAAATTTCAAGAAATTATTGATCACATTTAAGTATTAAAAAAAATTTTATGTTTCATTTAGAAATATTAGAACTCAAATTTATACTTGGCATCTTTTTCATTTGTAAATATTTTTTCTAGTGGAATAATAAATGTGATTAGAGATAAAAGTAAACTTATGCATAATTAAATGTGATTAGAAATAAAAGTAAACTTATGCATAATTATTCATTTAAATTATGCTGCATATAGTTTATGTAGAATTTCATGTTTTGAAAATATCAATGATTTAAATTTATAAAGACGTTAATTTTTTGCAATACGTAATTAATGATTTTATTGGAGAAATTTTCAGGATTTTTGAGTTGGGCTCACAATCACCCCACCCCTGCTCTTCCCAATTTTCTGAAAGTTTATGCCCAGCAGTGGTCCTTGTTCTAACAGATATTTTTTTCCTTTTCATAAAACGATAGAACCAACTTGGGCCAACTTCATATAGGCTGCATTGACACACAGGCAGCTCTAATATATATGCCGCTAAAAATGTCACATGTAGCTCATGTGACATTTTTAGTGGCAATCGGACCCTATTTGCACATCATGACAACACAACTTTTAAACACATGTAGGCCGCAGCCTATCTACTGAACATTACTGTATTTGCTTAGAGCAACAAGCTCGCTATAATAATAATTCCATCTGTTTCTGTGGATAGTCATCATAACAGACTTTTACTGTGCATATAATTATATTTATTGAAATATTATTTATTTCATTTTGTAGACTTTTCTTTCATGATTAATACCATTTACCAGCCACAATTTTTCCCCTAGGCTGTATCTTCATCTTATAACATAGAGAATCAACATCTTGAGACTGCAGTAGATAGCATTACTTCAACATTACAAACTTCTTGTAGTGATTCAAATGTAATTTCTGATAACTCACAAATTTTCTCTCTTTCTTCAAGTTGTTCGATTAATGAAACGTTTGCTCTTCCTTCGGAAGTACTTTCATCTAAAACTACAAATGAGGAAGTAGAAAATTATAGAACTATTGCAACGCCTGTTTGTTTGCAGTCTGATAACAATCTTGATGTGTGCCAAAGTTCAAGCAGTTCAATACAGTCTAATTTATCTGAGGATAAAGGAAAAGTAACTTTAACTACCTCTAAAAATTCTGCTCCAAAAAAGGAAAAAAAGAAAGTGAGTGCCATTTTTTTTGTTTACATTCAGTACCGGTCAAAAATTTAGACTCACTAGTTGTTATTTCAAATATTGTCAAATAATTCTGACTTCATTATTTTTTTTAATTTAGTAGTTGATCATGAAATAGACAAAAATGTCTATTAATACCTATTCTAAAAAAAGTAATTTATTTACAAAATTTAATTAATTTGTAATTAATTATCAATTTATTTTTCTAAGGTAAAAATTTACATAACATATTAAAAGTATTAATATAATAGTGTTAACTTGCAAGAATAATAAGTACGTACTAAAAACAAATGTTAAATTTTTTTTAGACAGTCGATAACCAGAAATGTGTGTTGAAACACATTCAGTTATTGTTACACTTCTTGGAGAAAGAATTTTTAGGTTGACAAATTCCCTCTAATACCCTGACCACTGTTGTCAAAACTTTGAATCAGAGGAAAGAAACTGTCCAAAATAAGAGCCACCAACGATCAGTTTTTATGCTCTTTTGCTAGATGAAGTCAGAATACATCACACTTGTCATTGAATGCAAAATGTACATTGAATAAGATTTTTCAACTTTAAATTTTGTTTTTTTTTTTCCCTCTTTTTTTTAAAAAAAAAATCATAAATGTTGTTTTGAATGTGGTTAAAAATGTTACATATGAATTTTCAGAGCTTGCAAAATAGTCACCTGGTTGCCAATGGCAACCAATAAATTTTGACTGGTGACTATATTTTGTTTTTTAAATATGATTAACAATTTTAGTATTTTAATATTTAGGTGATAAAATTGGTTTGAGAATTAATCTAGAATGATGATATTTTTTCCAGTTCTCATTTGTGTTTTTAATAATTCCAATATGAGAATAATAAAATAAGAATAATGATAATGAGGATAATACAATATGAATAATAATAATGAGAATAATACAATAAGAATAATGAGAATAATACAATGAGAAAAAAAATCTAACTTTTTTCATATCTTTTCTCTCACATTTGTATTCATCAATTTTCAGATTGTATGTTTTTTAATGATATCTTGTTAAAAAAAAAATAGAAATTTGAAAAAATCAATAAAAGTATTCAAATATCATTCAAAAACCACAAGGATTTAGGATGAAATCGAACTAACATATTTAAATATCGATAGATCATAACTCATACAGGATTCGAGATTTATTAGTATAATAGTTTTGTATTAAAAATATCCGGATTTTAAAAATTCTTTAGAAATGCATAAGCATAATCGCTAAAAAAGCAATTCGAAGAACTTGAATTTACGATAAAAGGAGTGATCGAATATATGTGTGAAAAATTTGGTATTAAAATGCACAATTCAAAGTTCACTAGCCATAATAATATCCAATTTAGGATTATTTGAATTTCATAAAACTATGTAAAAATTTGTTACAATAATTGCTGAAAACCACAAGAATTATGATGAAATATGCACAAAATCTAATGAATGGGATTGAAAATTGATGGGCGCTAGCTTACCTGAGCAATTCGAGATTTATGAGTCATATTAGTTTTCCATTAAAAATATTTGAATTTTAAATATAATGTAGAAATCCATTGACATAAGTACGGAAAAAAATATTGAACCATGTGATTTTACTATGAAAGCGGCACAAATTGAATGTGTATGTATGTGAAAAATTATGATAGTCAAATACGACTTGAAGTTCACCAGCCATGATAATATCCGATTAAAAAAAATCAGGATTTCAAAAACCATGTTGAAATCTGAAACAATAATTGCTGAAAAAACATGTCGATTTGTGAAGAAATCAATGCAAAATTCAGCCCAACAGAATATAATCATCTAAAGACATAATGTAAATTTTCCGTGAAAAAATAATTTTCTATTTAAAAAGTTAAAATTCATTTCAAGAATTTTATTTCAGCAAAAAATTAAGATGACGAAGCATTTATTTTTGTCCACTGCATTCGAGTGATTTTTTTTGTGTACTCAAGTAAATTTCAGAATTTTCTTTCTAAACATTCCGGGTGACACAGATTTAAATTGTGACCCAATTAATAAATTTAAGTAATAAAATAATCTCAGGTAACATATGTATAAATATATATTTAATTGTTTTACAATTAAATATATATACATATTATCTGAGATTATTTTATTACTCAAATTTATTAATTGGGTCGTAATTTGAATCTACAACACTTATTAATTGCACTTATAGATTATTATTATCGTGTTTACATTTTGTTCTCAATATACTTATTTATTGTAAATCTTTTAATTTTTTTATTTTCAGACAAAATTGTTGTCAGTTTTGGCCTTGAAAAGGAAGAATATACCATTACTTGTTGAAAAATGGCAAAAAATAAAAGAAGAGCAAGAAAAAGAAGATAAATCTGATCGTTCTTAGAAAGTAATACAAATAAGTTATTTATGTATTTATTGTGTGTTTATTTATCTCACTTAACTCTCTTATATATATATANTTATATATATATATATATATATAATATATATAGTGGAACCTCGGTTTTGCGTTGTCTGTTTAATATGTTATCCTGCTTCTTCCATAATTTTCTGCTGGTCTGTGAAAATTGCCAATATCGATAATGTTAAATTATCCCAGATTTTAAGCTGTCCTTTTAAAGAAAATCTCGCATTATATGTTTTTCTAGCAGATAAGGATAATTTTATTCTCTATAAAGCTCACACAAACTTTTTCTATGTTTTTTTAAAGTGACCTATTTAGTTGCTGTTTGTAGCTTTTGTGACATTCCTTCTATTCTGTCTTTTTGTCTGAGAGAGGATTTCCTTTTTGAGACAAAATCAGATTGGTGGTGGCATGGGCAGAGCAGGGGAGGATGGATGGTTAAAGGAAGTATGGGAACCTAAATTGTAAAATTTGCGAGTTTAATTTTTTTCCATGAAACAAACATTTGAATCTTGAAATCATCCGATCATTTAAAGATATTACACTAAATAACTGGTCAGGTAATAATTTCTTTTTCTTGATTTTGGTGAGCTGCGAGATGCTCCAAAAGCAAAAATAAATGTTCTTAAAGCACTGAAGTTGATTTCGGCAGTGTCGACTTTGGCTTCACTTATCAAGCTCTATGCCTATCCTCTCTATGCACTGAATTGTTAATTAAAAATAATACTGTAGTAATGACATTCATTGTTATTAATTGTAGCTATTTTTTTCTCCCTTTTTTTAGGTTTTCTGTTACAGCGGAAAATGACTTTATGAGGCTTATGACCAATTATGAGAAAAATTAATGGATTTGTTTTTTGATTTAATAATAATCACACACTCACACACACATGTAAAACATTAAAACTCTCTAGAAATTCATAATACTAAGTATAAATGTTTTTTTTCTTCTCATATTATGAAATTCTTCTAAAACTTGCTGTTTGGTTTATCTTTTTACTTCTTGTTTTGAACTTTTCTTGGTTGCTTTTACTATCTATCCATTATGATTTTAAACTACTGGAATGATTTATAGTATTTTTTAATATCAAGGAAAAGTGTGATATATTTTCATAGGAGTTTTTTGTGGATACAACACATCTGCTTTTGAACCAGTGGAAGCAGTTGCTAATTTTGTTAGATAGGATGATTTTTAATTAAAAATGGTTGTTACTTTTGCCGTATATCAGATACTTTTCCCTTAAATTTTTCAACTATTTTTGAAACTTGTTTAATTTACACTAATTTTTACTTCAACTTATTAGATAGAGCTGTAGCTTATATATATATTTTTTGATTCAGTAAGTAACAATTTTAAATTCAGTTACTAGGGCATTTTGCTTCTAAAATTACTAAAAAAAACATATAAATATATTAATTTTTAAATGTTGTGTAAACATTTAAAAATTAACTTGACTTGATTTCTTCCAAAAGGTCATTTTGATTGAGACCATTCTCTTATGTTTTAATTTCCCACTTAGTTTTTTTTATGTGCATTGCTGTCATTCATAACTTATTTATATTTGATATTTAACTTAAAATTGTATTTTATCACTATTTGAAGACTTTTCAAAAATGTTCAAAATTGAATGTACTTAAATTTTTTTTCCGTGTTTAAGCTGGAATTGTGATATTTAAAAATTCCTTTCACCCTCTTGAATCTTGTAAATACTTGCCATTTAAAAAATGTGTTTTAATATTTTTTGTAATGCTATGAATACTATGTCTTTTATAAAGTATTAAGTTTTCCTTAGCTTCAAATGAACTTGATTTTGAATTCTTGAAATTTATATTTAAATTGTAATCCTCATTTATTTATGTTTATACATTATGAATTTTTGTTACAATACAAGTAGCTCTGTATTTATGTCTAAGTTAATGTTTGTGTTTTGTAACATTTTGAAAGACCAATGCTTAGATATCACACTCTATTATATGTGTATGTGTAAATGTTTTTAAGCACTATTTTTAAAACTTTTTGATCTCTGTAGAAAAATGTATATTTTTGTGAATTTCATAATAATTTACTTATAACTGTTCATACATGTACATATATCATAATTTTTGTAGTGCATTATGTAACTAAGTTTGACTGCCTATTGTTAATATTTATATTTATTATAATTATTTCGGAAAATATTTAGAATTTTATTTTGTGTGGATAAAAATGCTTCTACACTCTGTTTGAATAAATATACTTTGTTTTTTAAAAAATAAAACCATTTGATTAAGATTTGATAAATATTGTTTTACATTTATAGTCCTATGTAGTTTTTTCATTATTTAATAGTACGTAAATATTGCATCCCACATAATAACATGGAAACAAAATATTTAAATGCGACTTGATAATAAAAAACATTTTTTGTACTCCTTAACTTTAAAATTAAAAGATATTTTGCTAGTTAAAATCGATTTTTTACTACTGTAAAAGTCTATTGTAAAATTAAGTTTTTAAAAACGTATCTTTATCTATTTTACAGGGAGACATAAATTAAATGATTATAATATTAAAATTTCAAAGATAGTGCTATTATTAAAAACTAAGCTGTTTTTTTATAGTTTATTGATAAAAGCAGTAAATAATATTTTGATTTATCTTGATCTCAATTACTTAATCAAAGTTCTATCGTATATATCTAATTAGAAATATTTTTTACAAGATTAAATTTTTGCAAAAACATATGATTTTGTTCAAACGGTCATTTTATTATAGGCTATTCAACGAATTTCGACTTTTTCTTTGTGTTTATGTATGAGGTAAGAATTTTTCGCCACTTATTTCAAGGACGGTCATCCCCTTATAATCATGCATAATCACAGTTGACAAGAAAAAGCAATACTTTATTGGAGAGCTTCTTACAATGACACTGTTGTTTGCAGCCACATTGCAGAAGGTTCCTGCTGTTGATTTCTTTCTCTTCTTTTTGGATAAAGATGAATAGCTCTTTGATGTTGCCATACATTCTGAAACTGATTTTCTCAAATTCACCGTAAAATGTCGCTTAACATGTTCTTCAATTGCGATCAGCTTCCTTTATCACCAAATATTGCTATTATAATTTTTTTGTTTATTTTCTTTTATTTACAAACTAAGCCATCGCTTAACATCACTATATATATATATATGTTCATTAGGGCCTTAAGAAACTGAAATAGTTGAAGCAAAACTAAGAAAATAAATGCATTTTATTACATTCATATTCATCACACCATTCTATTTCAATAGCTCCAGATATCTGGTAACAAAATGTTTAGTTTTAAAATTAAAGATAATTACAATATTGATGCTATGGTTTTGATGATGATGATGTTTCCCCCCCTTTTTTAAAGACCACCTGAACACTGTTAAAATATTAAAATGCAGATCTTTGCTCTACGAGCATAAAATAAAACTGAAGCATAATACTGAAAATCAGGGCAACTTGCATTTCCATGCGCTATGGAATGATGGTGAGGAACTAGTGTAAATGCCCTGGAATCTGCAAGATTCCAGGGCATCAAGATGATGTGACAATATTGAAATTGAATTTATATTGAAGATTCCAACAATATGTGGTAATAGATGCTTTATAGTATTCTTGATAACGGACATATCTATAGTGTTCCAGACTAAATTTTATTTATTATAAAAATTATTGACAGACACGAAATATTTGCTTCAAAAATATACAGATGGTAAAAAAAAGTCTACATGTTTCCAGCACTTGAAAAGAGGCGCCCATTCTGAAGACTCGCCACGCGTAAATGACTTGTGACTAAAATTCTTTTGTGCTCGAAACATGTCGAATTTTTTTTTTACCCCATTGATATTTTTTCTATAGCCAATGAAGTTTTTGTCTTTCAATTTCTTGAGATTATTTATTTAGTAACACAGTATATTAAATTAAAATACCTAACGCGATATTTAAATACGTAAGATAATGGTAAAGGTTCCTGGATTGAAATATTACCGATAATTTATCACAAATTTCTAAAAATTCAATGCCTAACATTTTTTTTATTTTTGACTGCTAGCCTTAGAAAGTTTTTAAGGACGTCAAAAAATGCCTGCAATTGAAATTTAAAAATTCAAATGAGGCAATAGAATGACTTCTAGCCCTAAAAAATCAAAGTTAAATGATTATAAAGCCAATTATTTCGAGCAAGTTTATGCATCCGTTTTACTCGAAATTTTTGAAAAGTATTTTCTACTTATTGATCCAATATTCTAGATTCATTTTAATGTGTACTTCTGAGCATATTTCGATTGAATTAGTTTTTAATAGTTTATTATTTTAATTTTCTGCTTAAAATTACAAAGGTATGATTTCATAAGGATAATCGGCTTTTTACCGTTTTTGCCCCACTCGTCTTCCTGCTCTCAACAAAATGAAGGAATTTGTTAAATAAATAATAGTTAAATTGTTTTCAATTATGTTAAGCAATAAACTGTTTTGTCCAGACAGATTTCACCTCTGGTTAACGAAATCATTGACAGTGTTCAATAGAGTAATTACAAAAAGGCCTTAATATTCTTGTCTCCTTATGGCAAAATATTATATAAATTTTATTCATAATTTTTGAAAATAAAAAGCATAATAAAACTAATCAATGAACATAGTAACTACAACTATAGAATAATTTGTAACCCAAAAATTTCTTAATATATTTTATTTTAGTGTTTAAAAAAGAAGAAAAAAAGGTCTTAAGTGAGGAAAAGAACAATTTTTTTGGATGATGATCTTAATAACCGCTTGGCTTTAGAATCATTTTACTATTTCCTATTTTAAGTATTTGCTGTTTAAGAAAATAAGGCATACCGAGGATTTTTTCTGATTATAAATTATAATACAATTATATGTTATGATGCTAAAATTTAGAAATAATTTTAACTTTTTTAAGCATATTTTTGCAACAAAGCAAAAGCACCAAACAGAAGAAGCAGATCGCTGTAAATTTTTATACGTTATAAATTTTACATTTTTCATACTTAATAACGGCAAGATCGAAGTGGTGAGAAAGATAATGAAAATTTTATCATGAATCTGAGCTCCCCCGGGCCCGAAAACTTTTTTCAGTACACGAACGGAGTTCGCGACTGACTCGGACTGAGCCCGTCTCATCTCTATTGTGGTTTAATGGCACAAAAGCCGGAAACGGCTATTAACTCAATTACATGGTGGTAATTCGTCGAAACATGTTATTCAGCATAAAAGTCTATTAATCTAATTACCTGATACATTACAATATAACGAAATGAAGTTTTGAAGGAAGAAAAAAAAGAACATGGTCTAACTTTGAGACTTCTACCTTCGTAAGTCCCGCAGTGGACTGATCGTTAAGACACGGTTCCCAGCAGATCACTGAAGTCAAGCATCACTGGCTGCTGTCAGTGTGCGGGTGGGTGACCACTTGGATCAGTCTGCGTAGGGACCGAGGGTGTGCGGTATTGGTCCTCGTTAAACTGTGCTACCGTAAAGTGCTCGACTTCGCGTGCAGGTCGTTGGGCTACCGAAGCGGGGGTGCCATCCCTTCAGCAGAAGATCAAAATTGTGATGGCATGTCTTCGGATCATCCTCAGGGATGTTTCCCAGACCGTCGCCAATAGCCCGTTGTGCAGCTCTAGTGCGACGTGAATTAACAACAACAACAACAACAATCTACCTTAGTAAAAAAGTATTTAAAATTACAAAACATTTTCGGCTTATTTCCCTCATTTCACCCGATAATTGCAAAGATCGAAATGAAACTTTTATTTTTAAATTTTTTCTTTTATCTTATAAATAACACGGTCCAAGTCCGAATCCGGATCCGTGAGCTCAAATCGAATGAAGTCGAATGTGTATTTGAATGTTATTAGAATTTTTTTTTTCACATGAATTAATCTACAGAGATGAATTGGCCCTTCCAAATATATTTATGGGAAGAAACTTTTTCTGTTTTATACTTTTTTATTATTTCGAAATTTCAATAATTGCATATTGTTCGAATAATTCTGCTATTCCTACCCAAATAATACTTTTTATACTAAATATTTTTAATTTTATTGAAATGAAACATTTAATAATTTTATTTATATTTTTAACCTATTATAAGTGAAGTTCGCTAGATTATAAGTTACATTTTCTTTAGAATAGGGAGTATTTAGGAAATTAAAAAAATTTTAAAATATGTATAGAATAAGAAAATTTCTATTCCATAAACTTCAAATTTTAATAAATTTTAATTAATTTTAAAAAGGTATCTACTTTAATTAGCTTCGAATACGTATTCAATAACATTTCATCCTGGCTCACAGGACTTAATCAAATCGGCTGTTAAATTCATATAACCTTTAAAGCGAACATCATATAACCACTCTGTTTTTCAGATTTGCTTAGCAATCTTAAAAAGACTTATGTCTGGTGATAGTTTTTCCGGTGATTTTTTTCCCGAAATGTTTTAATTTATTTATTTTTAACTTATTTATTTATTTTTATTTATTTATTTATTTATTTATTACTATTATTATCAACTTTTATTTTGGAATTTGTGATCTATAACAACGGTTCCTAATATTTTCTTACTGCGGAACCTTAAATGATCGACATTTTCTTTAGCGGAACTCCGAATTAACAAATTAAGTTCATTAGCAATTATTAGCATATCAACTAATAAGACTACTAATTATTTTTAAAATAATTAAAGTTAAGAAAGACTCTTGCTGTTGGGCTAAAAGTGGGAGATTTTCCTTAATGCTGGTTAGTTCCATCAAAAATGTTCTCCACGAAGGCTAGTTTATCCCAATACTTGTTTTAGGAGTTAATTTGCCTTCTGCATTAGGTTCAAAATTATAAGGATATGGAGTTGAACATTGATAGTCGTAAACTCAGAATTGAGTCGGCTGTTCAACGGCGGTTATAAAATTGAAATAAAATGGGAAGAATGAAATTTTTTCATCGTTTAGCAAAAATAGTCTTAAAATTAAGTTTAATGTCAGGCAGTGGAATTCGTCAGTTTGGAGCGTCATTTGATTGAGCTCTAAATCTAGTTTTTTTTTATATATGCATAAGTTAAAAATAATATTAAATAAATAATAAGCTGAAAAAGACATTAAGATAAACTCAGTTATGGTATCGTTGAAATGAAAACAAAAGAGAATTGTTGGAAACGTTGAGAAAAATCCTCAAAGAAACATATTTCTTTGTTGTTGAATTTATTTTATTTAGAATTGAAAAGCTAGACGGGAAATACTAATGCAATTTTGAATGAAAGAAATAC